TTCCTAATTGTCTATAATGATCTGTTTACAAGGCGCATACTTAATGCTATTGGCTATTTTCACACACAAAAGTTTAAGAGGTCAGGATATTAATACATTAACTAAAATATCATTGGGGACCTACAAAAAAGGGGTGAGGGGGTTCTTTGAGTCAAATGACTATTTTTTTTTTTTTTAAAGCCAAGTTTGCCTCACATTTTCACTCAAGTCTCAGTGATAGAGGTCATGGGGTCATGGCATGAGTAACACGATACATATGTTGTTTAGGCCCCAGCAAATGTATTCCATTTAATGCTTCACCCTGTTCATGTTTGTTAATTACTCCTTTCATATATCTTATAAATATTTATATATGTAGGTAAATAAATGTTTAATGAATTAATCAGGGACCTGTGTAAAATTGTGTGCAATTTTTGTTAAGAGGATTTGTTTCTGGAATATGAACAGGGTCATGACCCATTTTTTCTAAAGTGTTCCTGGGGTGAGATGGTTAAACAGTTAATTTACACTTGTGAAGTTGTTTTGAGGAGGTGCAGTAGAACATTGGCTGTCATTTCCTGCCAACCCAGTAGTCTTGTATTTTAATTCCCCTTTCATTATAGATTAAAACAGAATTTAGTTGGGCAGTTGTGTAGAACCAGTCTTCAACACACACACACACACAAGAGTACCAGGAAGTTTTGTGGGAAACCAAGGAGCAAGTGTGATATTGACATCACTCATCTAGTTCCAATTGGTTTTAAAGGTGTGGGGACTGGCATATTGAACTAAGTATACACACAATATATATTTAAATACCTTGGAACACCATTCACTGAAGATGGTAAATTGGTTGAAGAAATTAACATCCGATTCAGTAAAGCAGGTCAAATATTGGGACAGCTAGCCCCCCCCCCCCCCCCCCCCCCTGCCACAGCATAAGGCAGTCCCAATCAGCACAAAGAAACATCTCATACAAAGCATATTCATTCCCACCCTATGCTACCAGTGCCAGACGTGGTCACTCACAAAGCATGAAAGAAAATTAGTAACCATGGACATGAGGTGTCTGAGTCTGAGAAAGCTGTAGGATTGACCAGAAGAGATAAAATCAAGAATGAGGTCATACGAGATAAAGTCGGCACAGAATCAGTTCTAAATTACACACAAAGGCAGCAAATCAAATGGTTGCCCACTTGGAGAGAATTCCTTCTGATGCTACACCATACAAGGTATATACTAAAAGAGGAGAGGGACGTAGAGCAAGAGTTAGACCAAGAACAAGATGGGAAGAAAACATCAGAGAAACTCTACAGCACCACGATGTGACTATGGTCGAACCAGCCAGAAGAGCACGAAGCAGCCAGAAGAGCACAAAGCAGGACCTTATATCTCCCTTGACACCCAAAGCGGTAAAAGAGGACGTAAAGAAGAAGAAGAAGAAGAAGAAGAAGAAGAAGAAGAAGAAGAAGAAGAAGAAGATACATACAGTTAGAACATGTGGATATGGGTTTATTCTGTCCACATCTGAGCTTGTGTGGGGAATAAGTCTTGTCCTGAAGCCATTTTGTCTCAGTAAAATAAATGTAAATATTTGTAATTTGTTCCACCCCTTCAAAAAAAAAATTAAAAACCAAGTGGCATTTTTCACTTTATTAACAGCAAAACTTTTTTTTTTGGCAGTGAAAAATTAGATTACTTCTGACCATGATGTTATACTATCATCAAATGCCCTGACTACTGACTTGAGTCCTCCATCGGGAATGTTAACTTTACCTAATTGTTTTAAAGTTTTCAAGATGCTGTTAAGAGTGCTAGTCCCTCCAGCTCGCATCCTGGATGTTACCTTGTATTTTGGGGCAAAAACAAATTAAACATTGGCAAGCCTGACCTCTTATCCTGACAAACTCGTATCCAGGTACACTCAAATTCTGAGTGTGCACTATAGATTTCTAGCACCATATACGTATTGCACCTCAGACCGTTCAAAAAAAAAAACTCAACCATGTATATATTACCCTTCTTATGTGTGTGCTTATTTATTCTTTCCTCTTACTGAGTGATTAATTTCCCCAAATACATTTATTTGCACAGCTTTTCACAGAAAGCTTATGAGACTAAAGCTGTAAATAATATTCACATATTGCACATTTGCCGACTTGTACCACGATTCTTGATTCACTATGCTTGTTGATGCTGTTTTAGAACTTTCTTCTTCAAGTGTTCATTTCCTGAAAAACTCATCCAGGTACACTCATATTCCATTATATTTACTTCTAGCACCATTTAACTATTACAGCTCAAACCGTGAAGAATATTTTTATTTACTTTACCGTGTATCCTAGAAGACTTCTCATTATGTGATTATATAGCTCCTCTTCGTGATTATTTTCCCTGTATACATTTATCAGTGCCAATCATGGACAATGAATAGGGCGCTAGAACTGAAAATAACTACATTTTGAATGCAATGTCTCCACAGTGGCGCTAAAAACGTAAGAAGGGACAGGGTTACGACTACTAATATTAGTGAGTAAGTTGGAATAAGACCATCTCTGGATTATATTGACAGACAAAGATTGAAATGGTTTGGTCATCTAAGGAAACTGCCACCAGACCAAACTGTGCATGAAACATTTTACAGTAGAACATCTGGGAAGGTGAGGGAAAGACCAAGAAAGAGGTGGAAAAATGGGGTAGCTGAAACCTGCAAAAAAGATGAAGAAATCCAACACCGAAGCCACCAGAGAAGCACACGGAAAGATACATAAAATCATGACACTGGGCCTGGTACCAGTAAGATGACAACAGAAGAAGAGAGATACATTTATTTCAACAGTTTTTCATATAAAGCTTATGAGACTAAAGCTGTAAATAATATTCACTTATTACACATCTGCCAATTTTCTAAAAAGTGATAAATACAGCTGACAGTCCAGGTGCTATCTCCGGATGTGAAACATTTGATAGGGCCTTTTTGTCTTTAAAGGAGTTTAAAATTGCTAAATGTTATGCTCCAATTTACTTTGCATCCTTTCTGATACAAATATATCAATATCAACCTAATCAGCGCCTCTCTTGACATTCTGATTTTCTTCAAAACCTCTGTATTTAATTTGTTGTGTGTTACCAGGAAACAAGACCTATGCTTCTATCTATCTGTTTTTTATGTCATAATACACAAACCATACCTTGGATGGCCATAGTAACTAACAACGATTGCTTGAAAGAAGCTAAGAAAAGTAGATTTGTATATACAACAATAAGAAAAAAACCACTGTTCTTTGGCCACATAATGAGAAGAGAGGCACTGGAGAACATCGTGATAACTAGAAAGATCAGTGGAAAGAGGGGTAGAGGCAGACCAAGAGAGAAACAATGAAATGGAGGGATATCATCAAGAGAGCTATTCCAGGCAACCAGGGATCATGATATGTGGAGACGCATGAGCGCACAGGATGATGATGATGTATACAAAAACCATGCTACAAGACACCACACCAAACTATACCACAAATAGATAGCCCAGTTTATTGCCTGGTAAAATGACAATTATCTCTTCAGAACCAGACTCCCCCGTGTGGGTTCCGGGGCCCCATTGTGGGGAAAACAAGAATAGACCCACTGCCTCCCCAAAAGCATGTCGTAAGAGTCGACTAATTGGGAAGCATCCTTTGAAGTCGGAGTGCATCTGCCGGAGAGGCAAGGAACCAACAGTCTGTATTCAAGAGAATGAGATCTGTAAAACTGATGCACACGCAACACTCAGGTTCTGGAGCAGGACTGCAGTTCAGTAGTGGACGAGCAACCAGAACCTTCCGCCAGAGTTTACAGCTGGTGAACGTGAAGAAGAAGAAGAAGAACCAGACTACAGCAAGGAATCAAAATAACATGTATCAAAACAGTGGATCCTTATAGCTAAAATACATAAAACAGTATTAACCTGTCAGTCTTCTGTTTCAGTGTATGCTTTAAACTACCTGTGTGGGTTCCTGTGCCCTATTATAAGGAAAACAAGAATAGACCCACTGCCTACCCAAAAGCATGTCGTAAGAGTCGACTAATTGGGAGCTTCCTTCGAAGTCAGAGTGCATCTACCTGAGGCAAGGAACCAGCAGTCTGCATACAAATAAGTCAGATCTGTAAAACGGATGCACACGCAACACTCTGGTTCTGGAACAGGACTGCCATCCAGAAATGGATGAACAACTAGAACCTTCGGCCTGAGTTTACAGCTGGTGAACGTAGAGAAAAAAGAAGTTTTAAACGGACTCTGGGCATACGACTGAGCGAAAAAAAGCTGTCTATATTTCTTCTGCTGTACTACATACATAATTTTTGTATATTTAAATTTGCAGAAGTCACAGCTAAATGCCTGGGCGAAATTCCTCCGATTATGCAAATAGACAGACATATTAGTATAAAACTTGTGTAGTTAAACATTTTGATTTATGTTATGTTGATTTATTTCTATAGAACAGTACTTGTCTATAGAACAAGTTTGTTGGGATCCTGTGGAGAAAAAGTCAGCAAATTCAAAACATGACAGACTGAGAATTGCTAGCTCGTCCAGTCCCAGATGGTTTCAAAGTAAAAACCCAGTTTGGCACAAATTGAACAGTGAAAAGGCATCAAAGACTTTCAAAGATAAGGCATATAGTGCTGTATTTAAAATATCTGGCCATATTTCTTTTGCATACCCAAACATGAAATTAATAATAATACACTATGTATTACGTTGATACATGTAGACATAAACTGAGCACGTATGGTGCTTAACAGCTCAACAATGTTGTTCTAGTTTTCTTTATTTAATTGTTGACCAACCTCTCTGTTGCTTAACAGCTCAACGTTTTTTCTAGTTTTCTTTACTTTATTGTTGACCAACCTCCCATCTCTTGTTGTTTTATCTCAGTAGAAGTATCCATAGTATTTTTCCTGATCTGATATTGTGTCTGTTTTCTAAAATTTACTTTAAAGTGTGGTAATAGTTTACAACAAATCATGTATGTACTTTTCAGGTGCAGAGGTAAACAAAAGAATTAAACAAATCCGGGATCAAGTGTTGGCAGACAGCAAGTTTAACCCTCTTCTGGTCTTTGAACTGCTGCTGAATATAGCACAGTTTGAATTTAAACTCAAGGAGGTAATAAGCGTTTTGGAGTAAATATCTAAAGGATGCTAACTATCCAGGATCTCTGTTTGCTGCTGAGCAAGAGCCTTCTTGTCTCCGCTTTTGTCATCATACTTTGTGAGTCTGTCACAATTATGACATGCATGTGCATCCTTGAGTATGAAAGTACATGAGGTGGGAGAGCTGGCGAGAGACTGAGTTTCTTTCAGACAGACTATGATGAGGGCGACGTCCTGCAAAGGACCTGCTACATAAGGATGATGTGCAACTAGTTCTCAAGCTAGCGGAAGGCTGCAATAACTGTGCCTAAAATCATTAAACAGCATGTCCCCTAACAAACATCGCTATCTTCAAGGCACACCTGAAAGTCTACCTTTGTCTAGCGAGTTCTCCAGCCCTGTGTTCTTTCATGTCCAGTATGTCTTTAATGTATTGTAACCACCTTCTTGAAAGCCTAATTTTCCGGAAACTGCACCTTTCATTGCCCATCATTGTTCTTTCTAGGCCACCACGACGTTTAGGATGCCAAAATACCTCTGCTTTTGAGAGAGGATGCTGTTTATAAGCCAATGCTCCTCGATATTAAAATCATGTAGAATGTCGATGTCTTTTCTTCTCTTTGGTCTATAGTATTCTAATAATGTTCTGGAGCATTTCTGTTCAAAAACTCTGATTTATTCTTCAAATATTGAGTAAGAGTTCATGACTCACATGCATGTTGTCACTGGAAAAATGCATGATCTCTAAGTCTGTACTTTAACTCGCTTGGGTACTGGGCCTTCGGTTGTTCATGCTGCTAAGCCTCATGTTGTCACGGGAAAAATGCATGATCTCTAAGTGTGTACTTTAACTCGCTTGGGTACTGGGCCTTCGGTTCTTCATGCTGCTAAGCCTCATGTTGTCACGGGAAAGATGCATGATCTCTAAATCTGTACTTTAACTCGCTTGGGTACTGGGCCATCGGTTGTTCATGCTGCTAAGCCTCATGTTGTCCCGGGAAAAATGCAAGATCTCTAAATCTGTACTTAAAGGCTTAAAGAAATGCGCAAGAAGTTCTAGGTGTGCAAAACACAAATCAACATTTTAACCGGGGCCTTTCTTGACATGGTCTAAACTACACAGCAGTAACAAAGGGGAAAGTACTCCAACCACCAGCGCCCACCAGGGGGGTCACATGAGAAACTATATTAAAGTGATGTGGAATGAAAAAAGATAAAATGAAATAAAGGAAGGCTTGAACAATAGTCATAAAAGTAATAGTGATAAAATATAATAGTAGTAGTAATAAAAGAGTAGTAGAAATACAAATGTTAATGATCCATAACTGGTACTGATAAGAGATAAAATAAAATAATGTGAAATAAAATAAAATGAAATTTAAAAAAAAGTTTCAAAAAAAATCTAAAAAAACAAAGACTTTAGATGAAGGTATGTTGAACACATTGATATCTCTGGGCTTTGAACACCTATGGATGAGGCAATTTTCCAAAGCAAGGCGAGTGGTATGATCACTAGAGCAAGTTTCAAGTTTTAGACTAAACTTAATGCTCTTCTATATGGGCGCCACTTGTAACTCTGGTGATGTGTAGAGGATATCCAGTCTCCTGCCACATCTTCTGAATCGTGTCCAGAGTTACAGTTGCTGTAGCTACCCTGTCTTTGAGGTGCCGGATGTTCCTTATTTTCTCAGTGCCATTTCAAGACTCAAGGTCACACAGAACTTTGAATATTTCTGAACATTTGAATACACCACACGGGTATATCAATTTCATTCCTATTTTATACAGTTTAAAATCCGGGGCCACGTTAGCGCAGTTGTTAGGAGACTCTCTTTCAAATCCAGCTGCAACTCGTTGAAGCCCACCACCGGTGTTCAAAATCAGGGACGGTTCCTAAGGCTCACCCAGCCTCTTGGAAATGGGTACCAGAGTTAACACTCTGTGGTAAATGGAGGAACGGCCCTGTAACTATGAAGTTTCATGTGGACTGCGACACAGGCAGGACAGTTTTTTATCAGCTGTCCATACTGGTGGCAGAGCAATTATGGTTTATAACCGTTTGCAGTGACGCTGGCTCACATCTCCCGACTTGATCTTTACCTTTACCTTAGTTTAAAATCCTAGCAGTCATTCCGAAGGACCCTGTGCAAGTCAGGAGGCCCTTCTCCTGAAGAAGTATGAACTGCATAAAAAAGTCAAAAAAAAGAAAGAAGCAAAAAAGAGTGGGATGTCACATGATGGCAGGGATAGTAGGATTTAGGGCAAGTTGATTGAGGGCTTCTACATCATTGGAGAGATCAAATACAGAAGAAGAAAAGAGAAGTGGATGTTTGTAATCATTGACAAGAACTTACATAAATTAAGTAATGATATTATTTACTGATGAAAGCTTGTTTACTACACTATACTTTGTTTCTTACATTAGTAATTATGTAAAGCTGACCAATTTGTTATATTTTATTTAAAAAAAAGTAAAGTAAAGATCCCTTTTTACGCCATTAGGTGCATCAGTCATATGGGAAGAGCACCCATATTTCCGTCACTAGGTGGGTAATGTGGTCAGCATTACGCAGTTATATTTTTTAGCTGTTCAGAATTTTGCAGCTTTACCATAGTTCAACAAGTGTGAAATCAACCACAATGCAATTTTCTGCTTCCAGATGTTCAAACAAATGCTGGGAGAGAAAGAATTAAAGTGGGAACAATATAAGAAAGAGGGAGCAGAGAGGATGCAAGGAACTTAGTGAAGTGTATTCTGGGACCAAGCCACTGACAAGAGTAGAAAAAAATGGTTTGTTAGAACATCCTTGATATATTACTCATTTATTATGTGTTTTGTGTTTAATTCTGTGGAAAATTTTACCACACACACACACACACACACACACACAAAACCCAGCAGACACTGCAGAATCAGAAATTCAACAGTTAAATAATTGATTCTTGATAATTCATGTCCAGGTTATGTGATTATCAACACAGAAGACACTGTGCTGACAGGCAGAAGAAGTGCATTGTGAAAAACAAATGGATGACACTCAGTGCAACAAACTGTAGTGTATGATACTACAACATCTAGTTTCAGAATGAAGGTGGAGGCAGTCGCAGCATCTTCCTGATGGTTTGAGAACCCGCTGTACCCATATGTTGTGTTTGTTTGACTCACAAAGCATGTTAAGAAAGGTGGAGAGTGGCAAGCATCGCTTCAGAGGTTCTGGATAGCCTTCTTTAGATATTTTCTCCAGGTCAAGCCGGTGTGTTGGGAAATGAACAGGCAGACAGACTGTCTGGTTCTGCATCAATGGGTGGTGAATTTATACATGACAAGCTAGATATGGTCAAGGCCTTGTGGGAGCAAGTGAACAATGCGGATGTTGAAATCAGTCATTATGGTCTGTAGAGAATGGTGCAGCTGGTAGTGACCTGGGGATCTAGTCGACACTGAACACTCAGAGGAAAGGCGACACAGACATAAAATCAGAACTACATATAATCAAAACTGCTACCGGCACCCTCGGAATAGGAGCTCTTCGCTGGCTTCTGAAGATGAGGAGGAAGCACTTGTGGGAATGTTCCTAGTGCTGTGATGTCACTTCTTAGCTCGACACTCAAAACTTAAAATAAAAAAAATAAAAAAATTCAAACGTACAAGACCATTTCACACCTTTGCAACTGACTGATTGACTGACTTTCTACCCCACCAGGACATCACACAAGCGATAAACACCCGATGACCCAAAGTGCCACCATGTGGATGAGGATCCCCGTGGAGAGGTCCCAGAAACCGCGTTCAGACAATTGGCCATATTTATGGCCTGCCTATATTGCAGCCCCTGGCAAAAACCAGGGAGTGCTTCAAATAACAAAAAAATTGTGTCCTTAAAAGGACGAAATATGTGATATTACCACACCTTTGCAACATCAGTCAACCAATATTTGTATATGCTGATCGGTATGTGATTGGTGATGTGATCAGCATCACATTGCCCGCCTTTACTTCCCCAGTACTTTTCCTGTATTGCTTAATCTGTATCAAGCTTTAAAGGTCTAGGTTAAAAAAAAAAAATCTGCCTTAATGTGGATTCGAATCAAGACCACTAGCAAACAAGAGCTGCCAAATAACGTATAATGGGATCTCAAGTAAATTTTTTTTGTGTTTTGTTTTGTTAACAAGAAATTAAATTGTTCATCTCTGCATGGGTAAACAGTTTTTAGTACTCTAAATGTAAACTCATACCACATGCTATTAGTAAAATAGTAAAATTAATAGTACACTTTTGCGGCCCTGTGGCTAGGAGGTTAGTGAATGCAGTCAACAATTATGTGATCCTCAAGTACTAGGGTTTATTCCCTATGGTGGACTGTGTGGGTTCCGGGACCCCATTGTAGGGAAAACAAGAATAGACCCACTGCTTCCCCAACAAGTATTTCTTGAGAGTTGACTAACTGTGGATTTCCTTCATAGTTGGAATGTATCTGCCTGAAAGGCAAGGAACCAACAGTCTGTATTCACATAAGCAAGATCTGTAAAATGGATGCTCTTGCAAAACTCAGGTCCTGGAACAAAGCCACAGTCGAGAAATGGACAAAAAACCAGGTCTTTCCACCAGGGTTTATAGCCGGTGAATGCAAGCAACAAAAAAACAAAATATTCCCTGTGGTGGATTTTAATAACAAAATTAGTTCCATTGTTTTTAGACAATAGTACAAAAGTTCCCTGTGTGGGTTACGGGGGCCCTATTATAGGGAAAACAAGAATAGACCCACTGCCTATCCAAAAGCATGTGGTAAGAGTCGACTAATTAGGAGCTTTCTTCGAAGTCGGAGTGCATCTGCCTGAGAGGCAAGTAACCAGCAGTCTGCAAACAAATGAGTCAGATCCATAAAACGGATGCACACGCAACACTCAGGTTTTGGAACAGGACTGTAGTCCAAAAGTGGATGAACAACCAGAACTTTCCGCCAGAGTTTACAGCTGGTGACTGCGAAGAAGAAGAAGAATAGTACGAAAGTCACATCTAGAAAGAGATTGGGGGCCTGGCCACATAATATTTCCACAGACAACTGTGGACAGCAAAGCATTGGAAAAAAAAAATTGTTAATACAAAAATTAAGGTGAAACATCTAATCAAGAAAATCAATGTAATGTAGGATCTCCAAAATCTAGAAATTCAGGAACAATTTACAGTCACGTTCTCAAATTATTGCCAGGTGCTGCAAAAGTTAGTAGATGAGGTGGGTGCAAAAGTCAGCTGGTACCAGATTAAAAGCATTTCTATTGAATTATATAAGAAAAAAAAAGGATTAAGCTAAAGACAGCAAGAACCATTTCCTTAACCTATTAATATTCTTTTCACAATTTACTTTCATGTCAGACGCTCGCCTGCAGATCGGAAGGTCGTGGGTTGGCTCCCAGGTCGACCCAGCCTTGAGTGGGTACCGGGTGCAGTCCTTGGAATTAAAGATGGCGGGCGTATGCTGACCACATCACCCATCTTGTGCCGATTGGTCTATAAAAATAGTTCTAGCCCTATATGCCTTATACGCCTAAAGGTGTGGAAAAGGGACCTTTACTTTGCTATCATGTCAGACACAAATACTTGTTCTCTCTCCTTGCACAGATAATCTCCAGGCTTGGTTTGGTGAGATGAGCAAGCAGATAAATTCTTTAGGCTACGATGACTCAACATCTGCCGGGCGTAAGATTGTTCAGCTTATCCAGGCATTAGAAGAGGTAAATTTGACACTTGTAGTATACGAAGTCTGGTAAAATTCGATTCTGCCAGTTTGGATTTTTTGGGTGAATTTTTTTCTTGAGTGTGGGGGGATAGACCCACTTCCCCCTAACAAGCATCTCATAAAATGTGACCTATTTAAGTTGTTTCCTTTGAAGTGTATTTGCCCAGCAGGCAAGGAACCAACAGTCTGCATACAAATAAGCCAAATCTGTAGTAAAACAGATGTGCTCGCAAAACTCAGTTTTCGAACCATGCCCTCTGTGATGGGCATTTAAACCGTGGCTGAAAGTCCCAGATCATAAACTACAATATGGAGGAAAAATTGTAACAGCTTTTTAAGGACAAAGGTAAAACATTAGAGAATGTCTTCAAGTTTATTTCTCAGTATTTCAACTTTAAACTGTTCTGGAACAAAATCAAAGTCCAGAAGTGGGTGAAAAACCAGAACTTTCCATCTGCAACACCTGTAAATAAACGGACAGAGAGGACACTACACAAATAAGGCTATGGCCATGTCCCATGGAAAAAACAACCAACTGGAAAGGCTAACCTGATAAAAAAATGCCTGATGAAGTCGGATTTGTATGTTAAAAAGGACAAGTATCGCAGCTATGCTGTAAACAAGCACAATACAATTACGTCATTCAGGTGAATGATAAAAAAGAAGAGCACCATAAGAGTTGTTAACCAAAACATCGGTTGCGGCAATCAAGCCCTAGTACTCAAGGATCATGAAGCTGTTGAACACATTCACTAACCTCTAAGCTACAGAGCCTGTCTGAGCATTATATTAAAACTGCCACTGACTGCCTTTGTTATACCACTTTTGCGGTGTAGGCCGAGAGGCCTTTGAGCCGGAGGATTTACCGCTGCATGGCTAGTGCTGACGCCAGAACTGTGCAGGTGAGGATTTTATTTTGCCCCTGACAGAAAAAAATGCCCAGCCTTACTGAGGATTCGAACCCGGTTCTCCTGCATGAGAGCCCAGCGTTCTAGCCGTTCGGCCAGCCGTTCCTCTGCATTATATCACACATGTATTCCTTTCAGGTTCAGGAGTTTCATCAGCTTGAGAGCAACCTGCAGGTTCGGCAGTTCCTGGCAGATACAAGGCAGTACCTTCATCAGATGATCAGAACTATCAACATCAAGGAGGAAGTTCTCATTACCATAGAGATTGTAGCAGACCTGTCTTATGCCTGGAACATAATGGATAGGTATGTTGGGCATATATGCTAGTCCCATACATACCTCTTGTATGCCTAGAACATAATAGATAGGTATATAAACAGCTGAGAAATTTAAGTCCCATTTCTCCACTTTTAGGTATGTTGAGCATATATGCTAGTCACATACAGACCTCTCGTATGCCTGGAACATAATAGATACGTATTAAAACAGTTGAGAGATTTAGGTTCCCATCTCCCCACCTTAAGATATGTTGGGCATATGATGCTAGTCCCATATTTTTTATAGCCAATTCAGCACTGAATAGTTGATACTGGCCATTTTTACTTCCCAGGACATTTTCTTGTACCTATTTTAGGTTGTTTTAGATTGAGAACTAAGATCTTTTTCTCTTTCTCCACTTACCTCATTAAAGTGTGAGTGTGTGTGTGGGTGTGTTGTATAAGTTGATCTCCATTACTTTAAGGCTGTTCTTTATGCTGTCGATCCAAACATTTTATGTGGTCTTCATCTTGCTCTGTGTTCATTATATTTTCTCCCCCGTGTGGGTTCCGGGGCCCCATTGTGGGGAAAAACAAGAATAGACCCACTGCCTCCCCAAAAGCATGTCGTAAGAGTCGACTAATTGGGGAGCTTCCTTTGAAGTCGGAGTGCATCTGCCGGAGAGGCAGGGAACCAACAGTCTGTATTTAAGAGAATGAGATCTGTAAAACTGATGCACACACAACACTCAGGTTCTGGAGCAGGACTGCAGTTCAGTAGTGGACGAGCATCTGGAACTTTCCGCCAGTGTGTACAGCTGGTGAATGTGAAGAAGAAGAAGATTATATTTTCTCAGTGTAACTCTCTGTGGTGGTTGGCACTGGGGTATTAGGAACCAAAATCAATGTTTATCATCCACCTTATCAATTAATCAGATGCCGCCTCATCAAGGGGGGAAAATACGACATATGAATTTCTATAAATAAAGCCATTTTTTAAAAAGGAAACCCACTAAATGCTATTTTTAGTCAAATTAGTTGTTCACCTGTCACGCTGAAAGGTTGCACGGATGCAGATGCACTAAATTCTATATCTTGTAAAAATATCTCTATATCGAGTTGAGAAGGACACTTTTATCAGGAAACGGTATCAACGAGAAGTGTAGTGTGAAAGGGTTAAATATTAAATAATGTCAGCTAATATTTGAAAATTCTTAAACATTTACTATTTTAAAATACTTAATTCAACGTGGTCACCTTTGTTATGGGTACAGAGATACTGTGGTACTATACTGTTGGACCCTGTGCACTCTGCTGTTGCTGAATATTCACGTTATCAGATAATCACAGTTTCAGCTGCATTACAAACACGTCACTCCATAGTGGCTCCAGTCCTGGGCTAATAAAAACCACACAAAATGTCCATTACTGTCCCTTCTGGAAAAATGGTCACAGGCTGCAGTCTCAGCATATCCAGTAATGTACACACACATTAAATGAAAAAGAAAGCCGTCAGAAGTGCTAACACAAACAGTCCGACTTTAGAAATGTGGTTATCATTGATGGAAGCAGCAGTTTCACCAGTTGCTAACAGCTGTACAGATGTTCTATACCAGTGGTCAGCAAATCACGGCTCATGAGCCGCATGCAGCTCTTTAGCGACTTGAGTACAGCTCAGCCAGTCGGCCACAAATCATAGTTCTTGAGAGGCTCTTGAAAAAAAATTTGGCTACACAAATTTTTTAGTCATCCTGCTGCTGTTTTTTGGCTCTTTTGAGTAATGTGTTTGCAAACCACTGTTTGGAATAATGTGTATATACATTGTTTTCCTGTATCAGTTATACAGATTACATGCAGCAAGGAATTAAGAGAGATCCCACCCTGGTTATAAAACTGCGAGCAACATTTCTGAAGGTAATAATGTGTGGATTTATAATGAGATATTCATTAGTTTTCTTATTATGTAAAAAGTCAGTTGAGATGAGAAAGAGAATTCTCAAGAGCTATATAAATCCTATTCTGTTATACGGAAGTGAATCATGGACAGTTGGACGATTAGTGAAAAATTATCTGGAAGCAGTAGAGGTATGGTTTTATAGATGAATTATTGGAATACCCTGGACAGATAAAAAGAGTAATGAAGATGTCTTGAAAGAAACTGACTCGTGAAGAGAACTGATTGCCCACTTCAGCAGGAGACAATCTACATTCTTTGGTGGAGTCTTTAGGGGGAGGAAACTGTACCTCATGACAGTGGAAATCTCTGTGTGGGTTCCAGGGCCCCTTTGTGGGTAAAACAAGAATAGACCCATTGCCTCTTACGTGTCATAAGAGTTGACTAATTAAAGGTTTTCTTCAAAGTCGGAATGCATCTGCCTGAGAGGCAAGGAACCAACAGTCTGCATACAAATGTCAGATCTGTAAAACAGATGTGCATGCAACACAGCTTCTGGAACAAATCTAAAGTCCAGAGGTGGACGAACAACCAAAACTTTCCGCCAGAGTTTGCAGCAGGTGAACGTGAAGAAGAAGAAGAATATAGTGGGAAGGTTGGATGGGGAAAAAGGCAGAGGGAGACTGAGAGAGAAGACTTTGGACAGTTTGACGTGATGGTATGGAAGACCATGTGTGTCAGAAATCATTGAAAGTGCACCAGACATAAGGTTGTGGATAGACATGACTACCAATGTCACACAACATGGACTGTCAGAAGAAGAAAACAAAGGAGTTTTAGATGCCTTGGCATTTGTGGTACATGATGCCAACCCATTTTCTATTAGTCAATTGGCTGTTGATGGATGATGTGATAAGTATCATGCTGGCTTTTTGTACTTCATAGAAAATGCCCTAGTGCTTATTTTAGGCTGGATTTTGAACTCAGTGAATTCCTCTTCTCCTTCAGCATTCTGAACACTTGAGATTCATTGCTACAGATATCACTTGATAACATTCATCTCTGGTTGGCCTTTTTGTTCCTGTTGGTGTTTATATGTCTACTTGGAGGTTATATCTCTACCATTGTCCTGGTCTGCTGCCATTCACCTCCCTTGTGCACACCACCTTTTTGTCATCTGCAGTTTTTCTTCATATGCCTCCAGTCATATGTTGGTTCTTTTGATGCCAATGATCAGTGGTTACTTAAATATATAATGAATTTCATTGTTACCTCTCCTTCTCCATTTTCCGCTTACTGCCATTTGTATGTTTGATGGGTCTAAAGATTTGTCATAAGGCTCTGTTTTCAAACAATAAAGCTTCATCTCTTTTTGTTTTACTCCAGGTTTCAGAGCCAGATAAGACAACTGGCCATGCCAGCATTTTATGTACTTTAATCTTGGTGTTATGGGATAGAGCATTTGATTTCAGCAGACTTTGTAGGACAAAACAGAGCATTTGATTTCAGCAGACTTTGTAGGACATAACAGAGCATTTGATTTCAGCAGACTTTGTAGGACATAACAGAGCATTTGATTTCAGCAGACTTTGTAGGACATAACAGAGCATTTGATTTCAGCAGACTTTGTAGGACATAACAGAGCATTTGATTTCAGCAGACTTTGTAAGACATAACAGAGCATTTGATTTCAGCAGACTTTGTAGGACATAACAGAGCATTTGATTTCAGCAGACTTTGTAGGACATAACAGAGCATTTGATTTCAGCAGACTTTGTAGGACATAACAGAGCATTTGATTTCAGCAGACTTTGTAGGACATAACAGAGCATTTGATTTCAGCAGACTTTGTAGGACAAAACAAAGCATTTGATTTAAACAGACGTTGCATGGCATAATGTACTTAATTTCTAGATTGTATTGTAACAATATTTCTTTTTTTTAATCAGATATATCTTTGAAACATGCCCTCTGTGATGGGCATTTAAATCATGCCTGAAAGTCACTCTTTCTCTTGCCAGTTCTGCAGCAGGCTTGGCTTTCATAGCTAATACATCTTCGGTGTCTTGTATCCACTTTCATGGAGGTATGCCTCTGCCTCTTTCCAGAAACGTCACCCTCCATCTCTGCTCCCTCTAGACCACCATGACATATAAAATGGCCAAAATAACTCAGCTTTTGGAACAGGATGCTGTGTATGTGCCAATTCCAATTCTCCTCAATGCTCAGATCATGCAAGATAGCATTTTTCCTCTTCGTGGTCCATGTATATACCCAGCTGTTTTTATATATAAAACCTTTGTTTCATATGCTTTCTAGGGGGCTGTGTGGTCTCGAGGCATGGTCTCCGCCTTAGGTGCTAGAGGTTCTGGGTTCAATCCCTGTTAAGGGCTGTGATTTTTTCATGTGGACTTGGAGTTCTAGTAATTCCCCTGGGTCTCTGGGTAGTGAGATCGGACGCCTGTGTGCATTGTTGTGCATGTATAAAATCTCTTGGCAGTTGGAAATCAAAAACAATAGCCTAACGGCGCTGCCTCAGCAAAATTTGGGGTTAAAAATCTACCCAAAGTATTTCAGGCTCCTCGCCGGTGCTACAGAGCCTGTGAGTTTCTTCGGACTCAGTCTTGAGTTAGAAGAACAGAGCACTTATGAGTTACTACCCGTGTGCCATGATGTTGATCCGTTGTTCAAACCTCATAACCTTTATATGCTCTCTACAGATGGCCTCGGCCTTGGACCTTCCTTTGATGAGGATCAACCAGGCAAGCAGTCAGGACCTGATGAGTGTGTCTCAGTATTACTCCGGGGAACTGGTGGCTTATGTGAGGAAGGTTTTACAGGTAACCTGCATGATAAATAATCAGTTTGCCCACCTGTGTTTTGCAGATGGTTTTTCTCTGTCTTTTATAGATTGTAAATTATTTCATATTAAAGTGATCTTGTATATATATATATATATATATATATATATATATGTAGGAAATGTGATATGTATTGTTTGCTGAGTTCTCCCCAAAATCTTCTTTTGATTAAATAAAATATAAGTGTCTAGCTGTATATGCAGAATACACCTGAAGGTGTGGAAAGGGGTGAACAACCAGGCCTTTCCGCCAGAATTTATAGCCAGTGAATACTAAAAAGAAGAAGAAGAAGAAGAAGAAGAAGAAGAAGAAGAAGAAGAAGAAGAAGAAGAAGAAAATTATCCTTTATGTTTTTATGTGGTGTACCTGCTTACCACGACAATCATCTTCTTCTACCTTTTATCCCTCTGTGGTTACCCCTGCATACCAAGCTGCCCAATCTCCTGCAGCTCCCTCTTTGTCCTCTCCACCTGTGTAACAGTATCTACCATGACATTTTCTGTTTCCGCTAGCTCATTATAATTACGTAAGTGTTTTCTTCACAGATTATCCCACAGACTATGTTCAGCCTGCTTGCCAACATCATACGTCTTTTGACGAACAGCATCAGAGAAGTACCTACCAGACTTGAGAAGGACAAGATGAAAGAGTATGCCCAGCTGGATGAAAGATATGAGGTAAATTCTTTTCTTCCTTGATTTTTTTCCCCATGTTCTTTTAATTTTTCTTCATGAAATGGCATGCTTAAAGGGTTCCAGTGTCTGCCTCCATTTTAGAGTTTTCTGTAGCAACTGAGAATTGTTACAGTTATCATTGGTTTTTAAAAATCATGGCTCTAAATCTCTGGGGAAATGAGAACTGGTACCTGGTCGGAGCGATTATGCCACACCATTTAATTCCTTCAATTGTACACATGATTGGCACCTTTCTGTCTTTCCAGAGGATAGTGTTAAATTGTGCTATGAGGAGGTATGGGACTCGCAGCCTATAACGATGGCGAGTGTGACCTGCAAGACCTGCCCGTGGGGGGAAAAGTCTTTCACAATTATAACATGGGATTTTGGGACCATTGTTGTCAACATTTGTGTTTAGTCTGTTTCTTCTCAGACGCACAGCTCTTATCCTTTCACACAGGGACCAGTAAATGGACATATTCAGTTTACTGTTAGTTGTAATAGTCGCTCTCCATAATTCCAGGAAATTGATTGTCTTGTAGTTCCAGTTTGATTCAAAGCATTTTCTAGAAGAAGAAGGCAGATAATAATAAAAACATAGTTGTCTGCAAGTTGATTCTGTAAAAAGTTCTTTAGCAATTAAATATAAATCTAGCTTGTGAGACTGCTGCTGTGGACACATTTTTTGGAAAGGAAACCTACCTATGTTGATAGATCTTGAATGTAAACTGCCTAGAAGAAATAGGAATTCCAGTGAACTGTGACTAAAAAGCTTAACGAAATGGGTACGCAGAAAAACATGCACAGGATAAATCCCAGTGACTTTGTTCAGCTTTAAAATAAGTTATAATTTATGAAACCTGCAGTCCTATGTGCTTAAGGATGCTGTTTTAAAAATCCTCACGTGTAAGGGGATTCAAATATGTGACCATGCATTGAGAGACAGGACCTCTGAAGTTCTGAACTGAAGTTCTTGTTTCTTGTTGTTTGTTAGTGAAGGTTTGTCTCAGTAACATCCTTTGTTAAAAGTATTTTGTTTTTGTTGAGCTGACCTACACTTCATGTTCTTCTTCTTCTTCTTCTTCGCGTTCACCAGCTGTAAACTTTGGCGGAAGGTTCTGGTTGCTTGTCCACTACTGAACTGCAGTCCTGCTCCAGAATCTGAGTGTTGCGTGTGCATCAGTTTTACAGATCTCATTCTCTTGAATACAGACTGTTGGTTCCTTGCCTCTCCGGCAGATGCACTCCGACTTCAAAGGAAGCTCAACAATTAGTCGACTCTTACGACATGCTTTTGGGGAGGCAGTGGGTCTATTCTTGTTTTCCCCACAATGGGGCCCCGCAACCCAAACGGGGGACTTCATGTTCTAAAATTGCTTGTGTCAGCACAGTAACCAAAAAAAAAAAATGGCCATTTGAAGAACTTAATGGAAGACAGTGCTGAAAACTGGTCGAGCTAATATTTAAAAACACAAAATTCACTGAACTAAGACTAGGAAATGCAACAGGGGGGAGGGGAAAAAACACAGAAACAGTCAGACGTTTTGACTGAAGCCTTTGTAAAAATTATCACGAGAAGAAGAACCATGTACACCAGCACCCACATGGGGTAGTCATGTTCTTTTTCCTTCACCCTGATTAAGCTTCCTAATCATAGTCCAGTGAGTTCATGTTAGCTGATGTCAGTTTGTAAAGGTCCTAGGTAGATAGCATCCTTTAGATATTTTCTCCAGGTCATGCAAGTGTGTTGGGAAATGAGCAGGCAGATAGACTGGCCGGTTCTGCACCACTTAATGGTGAACTGATGTATGACAAGCTGGATGTTGTGAGGGCCCTTTGGGAGCAAGTGAACAGTGCCGAGGCACAGATAGATCATTACGGTCTGAGGAGAATGGCACTGCAAGGAGTTACAAGGGGATCTGGCCGACGCTCGACACTCAGGGGAATGGCGATGCGGATTTACAGTCAGACAGTTACTGGTACCATTGGAATTTTAACTCTTCGCTTGCTGCTGAAGATGGGATTGGAGCGCTTGTGGGGGTGTCCCGAGTTCTGTTATGTCGATTCCTAAGTCAACATTAATGTCCCTTGTTCAGCCCATTAAGAAGGTAATACTGACCCAGTGAGTCACCACTGCACACAAAGTTATGTTGGACTAAAAAGGAACTCATTAAAAACATTAAAGTTTATCACAAGAACATGTCTGTCGGTGTAAATCAGAAAGCGAACACAAGAAGAAGAAGAATTCAACATTGTAAAACTTTAAGTTTGGCTGACATATTTTTTTTTTTTGTAAGCAAGTTGAATGTACCTTTCTTTGTTTTGTTTTGTCAGTAAAATAAATGACCTTGTCCATGTTTTTGATGCATTGGAAGCGTGATGCTAGATTAATGTTTCCTTTTCTTCCAGACAAACTGGTATTCAGTTGGTGATGTGGTCACTATCATGCTGATTACAAATACTTCCCAGACAATGTTCTGGTACCCATTTCAGGCTGGATTGATCTGGGAGACAATATCAGTTATAAACAATACACATTCGAACTGAAGATCTCCAGGATGGGAGACAAGCATCTAAGCCAGGGCTGCCAATGATTGGTTTTTATCCCCAGATCTGGGTTTTTATTTGACACCTTGGGTTCAAATTTGGAAATCTGTTTTTTTTTAAACAAATATATCCTTATATAAAAATAGGTAAATGTTTCATTTCATGACTAAAAAATTTGTACTTTGCCATTTCTTAATAGTCGGCTTTCAGTACCACTGTCAAAACCAACACAAGGCGGTCTGCTGCAAAATCACCAGCAGCTGGGGTTGAACACAGTTCCCCATGCACCTTAAAAGCATGTCCGTATGTATGTATGTATGTAGGTTGTACACCCACCAGGAACATCACACTAAGCGATAAACACCCGATGACACAAAGTGCCATGATGCGAATGAGGATCACCCGTGGAGAGGTTTCAGAAACCCTGTTAAGCCGTTAGGCCATATTTATGGCCCGGCTATATTTAGGGCCACCGGCAAAAACCAGGGTGGGGCTTGAAATAACGAAAAATTGCACCCCACATGGGGACTGCTAATAAATAGCATGTCGTGAAATGCAGCTATTTGAGAATTGGGTGAAATAGATTTCTTGGGCCAAAAGATGCAAATATCACAGCCTAACTGTAAACCACAAATACAACTTACCAACACCTTTTTCAAAAGTGAACAAAGAAGAAGAGGAACCAACCATTTTGATGCTTTCTTTGTTGTTTACAGGTTGCAAAATTAACTCATGCCATCTCTGTATTCACTGAAGGAATACTGATGATGAAGACGACACTCGTGGGCATTATTAAAGTAAATCTGTCTGTTTGTATTGACTTGTAAAGCCACTGTTGTTGTTATAAACTTATTTCAACATTTCATGAGTTGATTGTGTCTCACTGTGGATACAAATGCTGGACAATTTATAATGAAATGGTAAATAAACTAGGGAGTGTATAAAGGCTGAACAATTTATAATGTAATGGAAATAAACTAGGGAATGTAAAAAGGCTGAACAATTTAGAATGTAATGGAAATAAACTGGGGAATGTAAAAAAGCTGGACAATTTATAATAATATAGAAATAAACTGGGTACTGTATAAAGGCTGGACAATTTATAATAATATAGAAATAAACTGGGTACTGTATAAAGGCTGAACAATTTATAATAATATAGAAATAAACTGGGTACTGTATAAAGGCTGGACAATTTATAATGAAATGGTAAATAAAGGTGCCAACACTACCACTATCAGCTGAAAAGATGTAGCAGAATAGAGTATATCCATACCTGCGGGGGCTGATTCAGAAGGAGTGAGCAGGTTGGGTCAGCACTCAGCAAACAGGGAGGATTGTATATTTGTTCTCAGGGTGCTACTGGCATAATAAGATCTAATGGGCTGTCCAGAAAACAATACTACAGGGCTCAGTAGAGAAGAAGATGCTCACCGGGACCTGAACCCATGACCTTTGGGTGAGCTAGTGAGCGTCTAGATGCTACACCATGCCAGTTCCTCTATTCTACATAGGCAGCAGTTAATGAATGTGTGTAGTTTACTATTAATTATACTGGTTACTCTCCATAATTCCAGGCCATTTATTATATTACAATTGCAGATTGATCCAAAGCAACTTCTAGAAGATGGCATACGCAAAGAGTTAGTCTCACAGGTGTCCAGTGCTCTTCATCATGGACTTATGTTCAACCCAAAAGCAAAGGTTTGGCTAGTTTTGCTGATTTACTGACTTAAGAACCGACATCACAGCACACCAGGTGTACCCATAGGTGCTCCGTCTCACACAACAAATGCCTGATCCACATCTAATTCCTTGTTTACACATTCTTACACATGTTATTTCATCTAACCTCGTGACTTCTATCAGCATTCATTCATAAATGGTCCAGAAAATCGCTCTCTTTCATTTCCTCGCACTCAGGTATGTCCCTGTCGGTATATCCGCTTGAGTCCCTGCAATGTTGATTTGCAGTGGCTTGGTACATCTAAAACTAGTATTATAAATATGTAACCTTATCAGGAGCATACTGTTATCATCTGTTACATTAGAAACTTTGTGTGGCTGTCTGTGTGGTTTCTCTACTGGGCTATCATCTGGAAGATGCAGGTTTGATCCTATGGAGAGAAAAAAAATTTCTTTTGAGGGCTAAGTAAAAATCCTAACCTACACAGTTTATAGCGACTGCACTAGCCAAGTCGTCTTAAAAACTTCAGAATCATGACCTCCCATCCTTCATCTCCTTAAAAATGGTAAATATTAGCAGTAGGGACATTTTTAAAAACACTTTTATTGTAAGATGGAATTCTGCCTCATGACCTACAATGATAAGTTACAGTGTCTAGATAAAATTTGCGCCCACTGGTCTTTCAGGGGCATTAGGTTAGTGGGTCAAAGGTTAAATAGAAGATTTAGAACTTGAAAAAAAAAACTAAACATGAGATAGCCCTTATGTCTATTAAAAGCTAATATATGCTGATGAAATGGCAGTAGGTCCGGTCCACATGTTGATTAACCAATCTAATAAGTAAAATAATGGACATTTTTTCATGCCTTGATATATGTTGAGTAAATGATGCTAGCTTATTATTTTTAGAATAAATAGTACTCAGTGGATGGTTTCATCAATATCAAACCAGCCACCTTTGCTTCTCATTACCCTTTTTAGGCTGTAGTTTGTTCTACACCCCCATATTTTTTTTCTACACTGTCCCCTTATATTTTGTTATTCTACATCCCCATCATATTTTGTTCCACATTCCCGTATATGCCATATATGTTGTTCTACATCCCCATTATTTTTTGTTCTACATCCCCATATATTTTGTTCTACATCCCCATTATATTTTGTTCTACATCCCTATATATTTGTTCTACACCTCCTTATATTGTGTTCTACACCCTCTCATATTTGGTTTGTTCCACACCACCATATTTGTGTGTGTGTGTTCTATACCCTTTCATATTTGGTTTGTTTCACAAACAAATATTTTTGTGTGTGTGTTCTATACCTCACATATTTGGTTTGTTCCACACCACCATAATTGTGTGTGTGTGTGTTCTATACCCTCGCATATTTGGTTTGTTCCACAAACAAATATTTGTGTGTGTGTGTGTTCTATACCCTCACATATTTGGTTTGTTCCACACCACCATATTTTGTGTGTGTGTGTGTTCTATACCCTGACATATTTTGTTGTACATCCCTGTATATTTTACCAATATCCTTCATATATTTTACCTACATTTTTACATATTTTGCAGGTAAGTGAGCTACTGCCCAGGCTACACCTGCTTGGGGATCAGATGGATGGCTTCCTGAGATCGTTTGAGTACATACAGGACTACGTCAACATTTATGGGCTGAAAATCTGGCAGGAGGAAGTGTCCAGAATCATAAACTACAATGTAGAGCAAGAATGCAACAGCTTTTTGAGGACAAAGGTAAAACCATTAGAGAATGTGTTTAGAATCATAAACTACAATGTAGAGCAAGAATGTAATCGCTTTTTTGAGGACAAAGGTAAAAACCGTTAGAGAATGTGTTTAGAATCATAAACTACAATGTAGAGCAAGAATGTAACAGCTTTTTGAGGACAAAGGTAAAACATTAGAGAATGTGTCCAGAATCATAAACTACAATGTAGAGCAAGAATGTAGCAGGTTTTTGAGGACAAATGTAAAACCGTTAGAGAATGTGTCCAGAATCATAAACTACAATGTAGAGCAAGAATGTAACAGGTTTTTGAGGACAAATGTAAAACCGTTAGAGAATGTGTCCAGAATCATAAACTACAATGTAGAGCAAGAATGTAATAGCTTTTTGAGGACAAAGGTAAAACCGTTAGAGAATGTCTTCCAGTTTATCAGGTGGAAGCGCGGGGGGGGGGGGGGGGGGAGTTCTATTCTTTTTTCATCCATCACAATCAGGCCTCTAACAGTGAAACATAAATATAAAGATGTGTGATCACATATGTAAAAAAAAAAGGAATGAAAACTATAAATTTGGTAATGTTTTGAGAATTTTCGTGTTTTCCGGTTATGGCGTGAAATGGGGAACACAAGGTGGAAAAAATATATCTTATTGAATTGTTCATTTTGAATACAGACACCCCTTCGGATGCTGTATCTTATGACTGTCATCATCTTCTCATGCAGTTGAAATTTTAACTCCAGAACTATCATCTTTCTCTGTTTTCTGGACAAGTTATACACCTTGATTATCTTCCGGAATTGTTGTGGATGGTGTTATACATGAAACAGTTACTAAAACAGGGTGCAAATGGATTGAAGAAGTGAGGGTGCTCACAAGAAACTGAAACTGGGATAAATATTATTGAGAGGCAAGGTGACCGTACTTCATACACTGTATTGAAATGAATTGTAAATAATAGAATTTAATTAAAGAATTGGGGCCCTGAACGACAAATAAACGGAACAGCAGGATAATGAACGAATTAGGGTTTTATACCAAATAGTACATGTTTCAACACTTCTTGTCTTTTTTTTTTTTAAATCTTTGTCTTTTTTTTGTCTTGTGTGTGTGTGTGTGAGTGTGTGCGCACATGCGTGCGTGCGCGTGTGCGTGAAGCTGAGTGGTTCTACTTTATATTTGGTTTTGATATCTCAGCACATTTATATGCCTTGTTAAGCGGTCTTAACCTCTACATTTTCATGAACAAAGATACCTATCTGAATTTAGCTAATTATAATAACTGACTTGAGTAATTTATAATTGCTGACTTGTATATTTGCTTCTTTCTTCAGATTCAAGACTGGGAGAGCATCTATCAGTCAAAAGCCATCCCCATCCCACGATACGCTCCTGTTGATGAGAGTGTTAATTTTATTGGTCGGCTGGCGAGAGAAATTCTTCGTATAACCGACTCAAAGTAAGTTTTATTTTCTGTGAGCTAAACACCTAAAGCAGTATAACATTTTTTTGGACACACCATGCGAAGGGGAAAAACTGTAGTATATTGTGACAGCAAGAAAGTTGGAGGGGAAGAGAGCCAGAGAAAGACTAGTACATGTGGACAGTCATTTTGACATCATGGTTTAGAAGAACATCTGTATTAGAAATGATTGACAGCACATGGGACAGAAGGCTGTGAACAAACTTGGTTACACAGCATCAATCATTAAAAAAAAACTGAGCCCGATAATATCCATTTAGTAACATAAGTGCATTATTATTATTATATTACTGTTGTCATATATGGGTAATATATTATGTAGATTTTCCTGTGTAGGTTCTGGGTCCCAGGGGGGGGGGGGGGGGATGTTTAAACAAAAAAATAGACCCACTACCCCCCAACAAGCATGTCGTAAGATTTGAATTAGCTAGAATAAATAAAAGGGGAACCCTTGAGGCATGTATAAATATATTAAATGTAATAAAAAAGCAGACAATGTCGGCACTCATAGAAAGTGTGTTCTAGTGTTGTCTAGCGTGTTCATCTATCTTACTTCTTCTTTCTGTGAGTGCAAATCAATACATTGTCTGCTTGTTTATTACATTTGAAGTCAGAGTGCATCTGCTTGAGAGGTGAAGAACCAATAGTCGGCATACATATAAGCCAGATCTGTAAATTGGATGTGCACACAATACTCAGGTTCTGGAACATGATTAAAATCCAGAAGTGGATGAATAACCAGAACTTTCTGCCAGAGTTAACAGCCAGTGCATGCGAAGAAGAAGAAGAATATGACATTATGTAGATTGTCTTTATCTGATGCAAATAAATGGTTCTCTTGTTTTTATTTCTTTTAAAGGCATCTTCATTATGCTTTTTTATCTGTTATTTAAGAACTCTCTTTTTTACAAAGTTCAGGTAAGTACCAATAACAACTTGCTGGGTAGTGCTGTGATTTTTTTTTTTAAATTACTTTTTGCAAAAGGTCTCATGGAGAGTTTCTAAATATGTTTATATATTAATATTTATATATTAATGTTTATATAAGAACATCAGTTGTTTTTCAATGCTTTGTCTACGAAGGCTGGATCACACCTGGAGAATGGAGGATGGCAGAGTCCTTAAGGACATCTTCTATGAGGAATTACAAATTGGTAAAAGATGTCAAGACAACCTCTACTGCAGTATAAATATGTGTACAAGCGGGACGTGTAGGATATGAAATTGAGGTGGACTCGTGGGAACATGAAACATGTTGCATGGAGGGGACACATTGGGAAGGGAATGAGAAGGAAGGAAGAAAAGATTGCAGAAAGGATGAGAGCTGAGCGTCTGAGAAGAAACAGACTAAATACAAATGTTGACAACAACGGTCCTGAAACCCCATGCTGTAATTGTGGAAGACTTTTCTTAACGCGAGTTGGTCTTGCTAGTCACACTCACCATCACCATGGGCTGTGAGTCTCATGCCTCCTCATAGCGCAGTATAACACTATCGTCAGAAAGACGGAAAGGTTCCAACAAACAAACAGTGTCTGAACATTTTAAATATTAAACTTTCATTTACTTTTTTTCTGGTGCCTTTTGTAGCTGCATAGGTTTTCTATGTGTATGTGTGTGTATTTTTATATAATTATATATAGGTATATGTGAGTGTGTGTGTATATATACACACACAGACATATATATATATCATCATCATCATCATCATATTGCAGGTCCTTTGCAGAATGTCACGCTGATCATGGTCTGTCTGAAATAAACTCAGTGTCCTACCAGCCATGTGCACTTTCCTACTCAGGGTGTCTGTCACTTATATCCTGCACACATCTTCATACCGTTCAGTTCCTGCCCCTCTTTTCTGCTACCATCGTTCTTCTGTTATTCTTTCCAAATTGGGTGGCACCTGATATGGCCAAAATATTTAACTTTCTGTATGTCACTGAATTTTGACTTTAATTTCATTACTGCTGCTTAACCATAAACATTTAATGTTGCATATAGTGGGTGCATTTTGAACTCTGTGTGTGTGTGCGCACGCGCGCACGTGGTTCTTGAATAGTTTTCACTTTTAATTAGATTCCTCTTTTGTGGAACTGGTGCCTTACCTCTTTTTAATATGTAACACTGTGAATGTATTTTGAATTGTGTATTTTGGTTATTTGTAGCGCCTCTTTGTATGTGAATTTTAGAAGTGTTTCAATTTCTAAGTGTAACTCTTGCTTGTTTAAGTTTTCATATTTCTTTTGTATAGTTCATGTTTGCATGTGTGAATGAAGGTTTGAATCAAGATTTGACATCAGTGCCCCTAGGACATTTCCACACGTATTCTGTCCCCTTCTTCAGTAGCCGAGGAAATGTCCACATGCTAATAATGCCAGTTGTTGACACCTGATTAAAAGTCTACCTATGTCCACCCCCCCCCCCCCCTCCCCTCAGTGTTGAATATCTTCCACTACGAATATCTTTCATATCTTCCACTACCCCCCACCCCCTTTCCCTCCACCATTGAATTGAATCTTTCATTGGGTTAGTTCAACATTAGTCTCCCCAAACAAAGTAGGTCATGTTCCATTTATAAGTTTGTTGGGCTGGTCTACCTTCCTGCAGGTAATGGGTGTGCTACTCTGTTGTTTGCTTTCTGGGTTGTCTTGCATTTACATTTTTATTCTGAGAAAGAGAATGCCTGTAACATAGGTTTCATCACTCTCTAAAGGGGTTTTGTGTTAGACTCAGTTTGTCAACGTTTTTGGTGTGTTAAAAACGCTGGCGTGCTGAAATATACAACATGCGATATCAATGGCATTGCGGGAAACCCCTGTAACCTTGTGGCAAGGTAACATGGCTCAAAGTCGACCAATCAGAAGTGAGCTAGGCTGAAGGTCGACTAATCAGAATTGAGCTAATATGTAACACTGTATAAATGGGGAGACTAATGTTTGTTTAACCTTTCATTGTATGGATTCTCTGGTGTTCTATAGCACTGGCCATTTAATCCCAGAGAGCCTTCGCCACGTCTAATTTATCATAAAGTAGCTCAATACTAGAGGAGCGGCAGCAGCTAATCTATCAGCCTGCTCATTGCCTTGCACACCTGGATATCCTGGACAAAAAATGTATGACATGCTTCTGATCTGAGTCTCATCTTACCTTTGCCTTTGAGATTCAGCAGTGTTAACAACTTTAGTTTATAGTGCATGTTTTTAGACAAACTTTGAAACTGTTTATAGGTATACTGAAAATAATTTATATTAACAGGACAACTTGCTATGTGGATCAAATGAAGGCATGGTACGATTTGAAAACTAAGCAGGAGATCACCAACAGAACTCTTTTTGAGAAAATACATGTAAGTTTGTAAGAACCTATTTGAGAAAATACATGTAAGTTTGTAAGAACCTATTTGAGAAAATACATTAAGTTTGTAAGAACCTGTGTGAGAAAATGTAAATTAATGAGAACCTGTTTAGGGAAATGCATGTATGTAAGAACCTGTTTTAGAAAATACATATAAATATGTGAGTACGTTTTTTTGGGTATTTATATATGTAAGTTTATCAATCTGCTACTTGTTTGCTAGATTATGTGTACATTCATCTCGTACCTTACACTTCTTGCGAATACTTTTTTCACATTATTCTACATTTTAAACAAATGTTTCCAAAGTCCCATTTTAGAGGGTGGAAAGGTTGGGGGGGGGGGGGGGGATGGGGGGGGGGGGGGGGGGGGGGGGGGGGATAGACCAAATGCCCGCCTAAAAAGCATGTTGTAAAACTCGACTGATTAGGAACCAGCAGTCTGCATATAAATAAGCAAAATCTGTAGAATAGATCAACAATAGTCATCCCCTCGTGGGATGCAATTTTTCATTATTTTGAAGCACTATCCTGGCTCTTGCCAGGAGCCGCAATATAGCTCGGCCATAAATATAGCCTAATGGCTGAACGCAGTTTCTGGGACCTCTCCACAGGTGATTCTCATCCACAAGGTGACATTTTGTGTCATCAGGTGTTTATCGCTTGTGTGATGTCCTGGTGGGGTAGATAGTCAGTCAGAATAGATGTGCCTTGTGTGATGTCCTGGTGGGGTAGATAGTCAGTCAGTCAGAATAGATGTGCACGCAAAACTCAAGTTCTTGAACAAGACCAAAGTCCAGAAGTGGATGAACAACCAGAATTTGTCAACAGTTTACAGCCAGCGAATGCAAAGACAAAGAAGAAGTAAACAATAACAAAGATCTAACATTTGTGTAAACATGAATACTTTTTTCACATTCTTCTTCTTCCCATTCTTCTTCAGCATTCCGAGCCCTTGAGGTTCATTGCTGCAGATATCACCTGCCTCCATTCATCTCTCTGGTTGGCCTTCTCTTTCCAGTTGGTGACACCAAGTGTTTGCAGGTCTGTCTGGACTTATCTCTCCATCGTCTTCTTGGTCTGCCTTGTGGTCTATGACCATTCATCTCTGTTGCGTATACAGTTTTTACTTCTCTGTCATCTGACATTCTCTCAATATGCCCCAACCATTTCAGTCTATTAGCTCTCATGATGCCAGTGATCAATGAGGGTTTAAACAGATTATAAATTTTGTTGTTGCTTCTCACTCTCCATCCCCACTGTTTGCATCTTTGATGGGTCCATTATTACACATTTAAAACAAATGTTTGTGAACAGTTATCCCTGTGTGGGTTTTAAAGTCCCATTTTAGGTGGGGGTGGGGGGCGGGGGGGGGGGGGGGGGGGGGAGAATAGACCCACTGCCCTAATCATTTTTGCTTTAGTACTTTGTAAGTAAACCTTCTTATTTTCTTTTCATGTTTTATTTCCACAGAGAGCGGTTGGCAGCTTTGGGTTGTCAGGCCTTGATCGACTGCTGTGTTTCATGATAGTGAAAGAGTTGCAGACATTCCAGCTTCAGTTCCAGCGTTCAATCCTCAAAGACAAGTCTTGGACAGACAATTTTTCTCAGATCACTCGAACATGCAGTCCTTTGCAAGGACTTATTGGTAAGTATACTGTTTTGCAATCATTAACTCTTTGAGTCCCAGGGGTTTAGCATCACACGCCCAGGGGGTGGTAAAGAAAGTAACAAAATCGGCCCATCATGCGTTCATTGGGCTTCTAGGTAGGAATCTACGAACGTATGATGTGTTCCTTGAGACTCAAAGAGTTAATGACGAAAATCTGGATTTTTTAACTAAAATGTTAACGAAGATTCGTAGAGTTCAAGGACAGAGAAGTGGAAAAATACTGACATTCCCTATGATCTGAATATCGCGGGAATTTTAGAAAGGTTTTTAAAAATTCAGGGCATTGAACCTTTGATCACTGAGTAGTCAGTCAAGCCTCCTACCTACCTCATCATCGCAGCCCTTAAAAGATGGATTTTATTTTTTAGATTCATTATTTTTTTACAAAGGGGGGTTTATTTTTTAATTTGAAGGGGAAATAATCTTTAATGCAATTGGGGCAGAGAAATAATTACTTTTCTTCCATTTGAAAAGTAAAAAGGATTCTGTTGACACAGCCACAAAGAGAAAAGTGAGGTTATGAGTTATTTTGACATTGCAATTGTTTAAAAAAAAGAAATAATAATCGATAATTTTAAAATTTTATTTTGTGCCAAGGTTTTTTTTTTTATGTGAAGGGAAGTAATCACTAAATACAAATGGGGAAGAAAAATAATTGTTTTCTCCCGTTTGACCACACACACTCTTTTTTTTTTTTTTTATTATTGTTTTTTTATTGACGCAGCCACAAAGAGCAAAGTTATGTCAGGAATTATTATTCTGTCAACATTAATGATATCACAGCAACCTGCCACCAGCACGTTTTTAATACCCTACATGCCGATGACTTTGCAGTTTGGACAGCCTCCGAATACACTACCACAGCCTCATATCTGTTACAAAAAACTGTGGAAAATGTAGAAGCCTGGACTGAAAAGTGGGGTCTAAAGCTAAATAAATCAAAAAGCACAGCATCACTTTTCTCTCTCTCCCCAAAAAAAAGAATAAATCGAAATTTGGATTAAAAACCAGCTCATTCCACAGACTGACACTCCTACCTTTCTGGGCGTTACACTTGATTCGCGACTAACTTGGAAGTCACATGTAGAAGCAGTACAGGGAAAAGCATTCAAGAAGCTTGCAGTTATGAAAAAATTAGCGGGTACCACATGGGGCGCTAACTCTAGAATCCTAAAACAAGTATATACTGGAGCAGTCAGGCCAGTCATGGAATATGCCTCCACTGCATAGGCTGCAGCAGCCAAGACAACAATGGGAAAACTGGACAAGGTTCAGAATATGGGATTAAGGATTGTTCTCGGAGCCATGAAAACCACCCCCATCAGAGAAATAGAAAAGATAGCAGACACTGAACCACTCGAACTCAGAAGACAATACAAAACTCTTTTACAGTATGAGAAATTAAAAAGACTTCAAAGTCACCCACTGCATTTTAAATTTCAAGAGAGAACAAAAAACAGACTGAAGCGTCAGAGCCCCAACCACCTTGCTAGAGAACTGTACAGACAGCACCAAGATCTGCTTGAAAGAGATGTTGCACTGTGCAAAAAACTTAGGCCAGAACCATGGACAAGCAAGCCAGAGAAAGCAAATGTAGTCCTAAAGGTACCAGGAATCACTTCAAAAGATGCCCAGATGGAGACATAACAGAGAACCCTGGCTCTTGCTATGCTTGATGAGAAGTATCCAAACACCACTTGGACTCAGGTTTTCACCGACGGCTCTGCTACAGATGCAGTCAGAAAGGGGGGTTGTGGAATTTACATTAAACCCCCTAGCAGTAGAGCAGAAACTCTCTCTCTACCAGCAGGTGACATCTGCACTAACTTCAGAGCTGAGGCAACTGCCCTCCTCTCTGCAGTCCAACATCTCATCACTCAAGAACACAGAGGGCACCAAATTGTTATACTTAGCGACTCATTGTCTGTTCTCCAAGCACTATCCAGCAAAAAACAAGACAAAATAATTGCTGATCTAAGGACCAACATTGGCTTACTCTCCAAGGAAGCAGAACTGGTCTTGCAGTGGATACCAGCCCACTGTGGTATTCAAGGAAATGAGAGAGCAGATGAGTTGGCAAAAGCTGGGAGTAATCTTTCACAACCTCATCCACCACACAGCTACAAGGAAACCAAAACAGCGCTAAAGCAGTCTTTCAAGCGGGAATGGAGAAGGCAGAATGGAGATTACAGACCAGAGAGTGACAGCATAAACAAACTCAAAAGGAAAGAACAAACATCAATTCTTAGACTTCGGACTGGACACTGTGGTCTTCGAGCACACCTGTACAGGATAGGCATAAAAGAATCTGCTGTCTGTGATTGTGGAGCAGAAAGACAAACCCCTGAACACATACTGCAGTACTGCCCTTACCTCTCCCAGCAAAGACTGTGGATCTGGCCCAAAGGAGCCACATTGCAAGAGAAGCTATGGGGGACCGGTGGCGACCTCAAACGCACAATCCTATTTGTGACCCAGACGGGACTCAATGTTTAGCATGACTGATATCGAACGCAGAAGAAGAAGAAAAAAAAAAGAATTATTCTGTCACAATGACAAACATTTTTTTTTTAAAACTCCAGATAATATCTTTGTATTTTTTTAACACTCTGGGTGTAAATAAATTCATAAAACTGTGTCTATGCACTATGCAGTTACAATCACTGCCCCACTACATCGCATCCTTTTCAGGATGGAATTTTTCGTTATTTGAAGCCCTATTCTGGCTCTTGCCAGGGTCCGCAATATAGCCTGGCCATAAATATGGCCTAAACGCTGTACGCTGTTTCTGGGACCTCTCCACGGTGATCCTTACCCACATGGTGGCACATTGTGTCATCTGGTGTTTATTGCTTGCGTGATGCCTGGGTGGGTTAGAAAGTCAGTCAGTTAAATCACTATTACAGTTGTAGGCATACTAGCCACTTTTGAAGCGGTCGTGGTATAGCGGCTAGAGGATTGCCTGCAGATCTGAAGGTAGTGGGCTCAGGTTCTGACGCAGTATTAGTTTTTTCAGAAATGACCTTTGCTCCCCCAATCGAGCCAGCCTTAAATGGGTGCCAGGTAAAGTCCTGGAAAGTGAAGGCGGGGGGCGTGATGCTGACCACATCACCAACCTAGTGCGGAGTGGTCTATAAAATATAGGTCTAGCCCTATATGCTTAACACTCCTGAAGCAAGGAAAAGAGTCCTTTAATTTACTTTTACTGGCCACTGCCTGCAGTGATTTGAAAAGAACAGCAGTGGAAGGTATGGATTCTTGGATGAAGAGGCAGGGATGGATCAGTAAGAAGGTGGACACAGGATGTCAAAGACGCCCTGTACATGAAAACTCTTGAGGTGATAAAAAGTTTTATGAGATCAAGTGACTTTCTGGCATGACGTGATCGGAGCGGCATTCTGCAAAGGATCTGCAAAATGATATGATGTTTGGTAAGCTGTTACTTCTGTGTGCATATGGGGGTCCCCATTGTGAGCGAAACAAAATAGACAAGCATGTTGTTAATATAACATACATAACATAACCTTTGACCCGTTATGATCATGGAGGTGTATTGATGAAAGCACTAGCACATAAACCCCCCCATCCCCCCACCCCCCTGGCCCCATGTTCCTTGAAGCGCAGTTCCTGCAATCGAATAATTTTTTACCACTTGTCCAAACCAAGCTAGCTTACGATGTTTCACCACTGCCAAAAGAGGCTCTTAATGTCCTGCAAATTTGTATATTTTGTTTCTGACATATTTATTAGTTTTATGTTTTAAATAACTAGTTCGTAAAATGCGTCTATGGCATTTACATTCAAAAGCCTGAATCCTCCTTTCCATTTGCACAGTGAGAGCCCAACTCTCACATCCGTATAAGAAAATAGGCAATACAAGTGATTTGTAATTATTGACCTTGGCTGCGATGCTGATTTTGCTCTTCCACATCGTATTCAGCTGAGACATCGCAGCTGTTGCCATATCAACATGTTGTTACAGTCAACTAATTAGGGATATTTCCTGTGAAGTCAGAGTGCACATTCTTGAGAGTCGAAAAACCAACAGTCTGCATACTAATAAGCCAGATCTTTAAAGCAAATTGCATGCTAAACTTAAGTTCTGTAAACAAGACCTAAGTCCAGAAGTGGATGAACAACCAAAATTTTCAACCAGAGTTTACAGCCAGTGAACACAGAGAATAAGAAGAAAAGACATTGACATTGTTATGTTGATGTTATTTAATTTTTGTATTAATTTTACTAGTACAAAAATTCAAGTTTTTAGGCACATTGATACCACCAGATGGAAGATATATCAGAGGGATTTTCCAGATGGTAGTGTTATATTGCACTATGAGGAGGCATGGTGATGGCGAGTGTGACTAGCAAGACCCACCCATGTCAAGAAAAGTCTTCCACAATGATAGCATGGGATTTCAGGACTATTGTTGTCAACATTTGTGTCTAATCTGTTTCTTCTCAAGACGCTCAGCTCTCATCCTTTCTGTAGTCATTTCTTCCTTCACTCTCATTCCCTTCCTGATATGCCCTTTCCACACAACACGGCCCATGACATTTTGTTCCCATGAGTCCACCTCAGTACCTGTACCATTCATGTCCTGCTTGCACACATCTTTATACCGTAGTAGAAGTCAGCTTTGACATCTCCTGCCCGCCTTTAATTGAGTGATAACATAGAATATGACAAGTAAATACTACTTCATCACCATTTTGAGCCCTTGATGGTAATTGCTGCAGATATCACCTACCTGCATTCAGCTCTGTTACTGGTTATTTGTTTTCTGTTGGTGACTCCAAGTTTTGTAGGTCTGCCTATGCATTATCTATCTTCCCATTCCACTATCTTGAGCTCCTGCCTCCTGGTCTACTTCCACTCTGCTGTTTTGTGTACAGGTTTGTGTGTGTCACGAAACAAGGATGTAAATATTGCATTTTATATAATGAACGTACAATCTTCCTTCTTCTTCTTCTTCCCTTCCACCATTTACCTCAGTGTGGTGTTGCGGGGAGATGTAAGGTTCGTTGGTGTCCTTTTTTTCCAATGCATTGTACAAGTTGGTGTTCATTTCTGTTAGGTTGCTCATGATAGTGTCGCTCTTTCATGGTCTTCCCCTTGCTCTGTGTTCATTATATTTCTTCAGCGTGGCTCTCTGTGGTAGTTGGTACCATACGATTTAACATTAAAATGAACATTTTGCTGTGATTCTTATATAAAAATGTTCATATTTGTTTCAGGTCAGCCGCAGAGGTTTTACCAGCAAGTGATTTCTAAAACCAACAAACTGCATTCTCTGTTTATGGACATCATCTTGAGAGTAAGCTGATATGTTGTCTGATTTGTGGAGTGCAGTAATGGCTACATTTGTGTTCCAAGCTTCGCACATTTTCACCTTAGTGTTCTTCTTTTTCTTCTACCTGTTTTTCTCCAGGGGAGCATAGACCCTTAGCAAACTCGCACCTATTCATCCTAATGTTTGCTTTTGCATACATTTTACAGCATCTTTTTTCTTTTTTTTAAACTTCACTCTAACTTCACTCACTAGTTTCATTGTCTATATTTTTTGGTGTGCCTTCATTTCCGTGCCCCTTGGGTTCCAGTGTAAAGCCCTTTTAATTATAGCATTCTCAGGATTTCTCAATTTGTATCCTATCGAACGCCAGCATCTTTTCTTCACCTCTTGATTCACTGGAATTTGTTTAGTTCCCTTCCAAAGCTCCACTTATTTCTCTGTATCTTGTCAGGTGCATTATTACAGAGCTAGGCAATTACTAAAATTGGCAGAAGATGAAGAATCAGGGATTGTGTAAACAAATAGATAATGTGGTAAATCTCAGACTTCTGTGGTAATTTGTCTGTTGGTGAGATGTACAATGAAGCAACAGACAGTGTATATTTCAGTAAAAAGGACTAATGTTTTGTGCTTTTTTTTTAAATGTTGGTGTAACTCTGTAGCTGTGTCTTTGATATGTCATGCAGTCAGTTCTGCAATGTATTGTCTGTGTCCACATTATTTAAGCATATTTTGTTTATTCTGTGTTTTTTGCCTGTGCAGGTTGGCCAGATGCAGTTACTGCGTCGTCAGATTGCATACGAGTTGAACACTTCTTGCAAGTTTGATTCAAAGTTCTTAGCCAGTGCACTTCAAACAATAAATATGTAAGTCTAAATCTTAAAGGCTGAGTTTTGTATGTATCAGCAACATATATGTCCACTCATATTGATCTAAGCACCACTGCCAGTTTGTCTGTGGCTGCTTATTGTTTACTCACAGCTAACACTCATGTCAGGAAGAAACGGAGGCCATTCCATAATTGGCCACTGTGGACGCCCTGGGTTGGGGATGGTCACCCCAGCTTTAGTTAACCAGATGACAGCTGGCAACATCTGTAGAGAAACTGGTGGTTGAGGAGGGAGATGGAGCCTCTGTTGGCTTATCAGGAATGCTGTTATGTCGAAGCTGTACCCAGATGATTTCATATCCACGGATCGCTAGCAAAGTAGCTCGTTTCTTAGCAGTCTCATGCCAGCCCTTCTTAGTGGCTTATACTTCAATCTTAGTTGGTTATAGTTCTACTGTTCCTTGCTTTCTTTATGATGCCAGTAATACACTTATCTTTGGACTTGCTTTTTTTTTTAAAAGTCCTTTCTGTGTAGATTTGGTCATTATGTCTGACCACAGCTTTCTGTCTTGTATATTGCCAGTTGCCTAAGTGGCTTCTAGGGCCCTGTTTTGGGTGAATAGACTGCGTCCCTATCAAACGTTTCATACATAGTGACTATTTGAGGAAATCTCCTTTGAGGTCAGAGTGCATCTGCCTGAGAGGTGAGGAACCAATAGACTGCATATAACTAAGCCAAATCTGTGAAACGGTTGTGCATGCAAACCTCAAGTTCTGAAACAAGACCAAAGTCCAGAAATGAACCAACAACTAGAACTTTCTGTCACAGCTTACAGTCAATGAACACTAAGAAGAAGAAGGAGACCAATAATTTCTGATGTCCCTCCAAGCCATCAAGCTAAACTATCAGACATCCTCACTCTTTCATGTGGCATTTCACCAACCTGATTTCATCAGTCCTAAAGCAAACCCACCTGCCTTATGCAGGAATTTTGCATGTGTATTGCTAGCTTATCGTGACTAACTACTTTCTTCAATCAACAACAAATTGAAGTTCTGCTGACCACATCACCTACCAAGTGCTGATTTCTATAACAATATAGATCTAGCCCTATATGCCCAATAAGCCTGAAGGCGTGGAAAAGGGTCCTTTACTTTACTTTGATTGTTTTTCCACTCGTTTCAAATGGAGCAGTGAGGGGTTTTCACATAATTTGCACTAACACAGAAACAAAGCAATTATGGGATAACCTATTAGCAGTGTATGTTGAAACCTAGACTAAAACTGTCATAACATCCTCAATCTTAGATTTAGTAGTTAGGGCAAAACTCAAGTGGTTTGAGGTTTGGACATCGGATCAACATCATGGCACACGGGTAGTAACCCATAAGTGCTCCGTTATTCTTCAAACTCAAGTCTGAGTCCTAATAAGCTCAGCACAGTACACATGCCCTGTAGCACCGGCAAGGATCCTGAAATACTTTGGGTAGATTTTTAACTCCAAATTTGCCCATGCAGTGCCGTTAGGCAACTCTTTTCAATTTCCAACTACCAAGGGATTTTTTTATGTGCGCAACAATGCACACGGGCGTCCAATCTCACTACCCAAAGACCAGGGGGAATTACTAGAAGTCCAAGTCCACGTGGACAAATCTGAGCCCTTACCGAGGATTGAATCCGGAACCTCTAGCACTCGCTGCCTCGAGACCATGCAGCCCTCTTAAAACCCATGCATAAAAGGATAGTGTTGTTGTCATTTATCATTATTGATTGCTGTTTTGGTTTTTTTCTTCAGTGGTTTGTTGGCAGACATAGAGCAGCATTACAGAGACCCCAGCAAACCTTATCCTAAAGAAGAGAACTCTCTCATGTATGAGTTAACAAATTATCTTGAAGCTTCAGGGTTCCATAATCCTCTGAGAAAGGTATTTCAGTCTTCTTCATTTTTGTTTTTAAATTGACCTTGTTCTAGTAAACTTGTCTTTTGCTTAATAACTCAGGTATGGTAAATGTTTTTGTTGGATAAATTAGTTTTGATAAACATGTTTTTGTTAAATAAATCAGTTATAGTAAATATGTTTTTGTTGAATAAATTAGTTCTGATAAACAGGTTATGTTGGGAAAAAAAAATTCCTTTAAACACACATTTTATTTATAAATAATTTGGGGCAAACACTTTTTTTGTTAGAAAAATCAGGTTTGATAAACATATTTTTTTTAAAAATAATTTTACTAAACGTGATTTTTGTTAGGTAAATCAGTTTTATTGGGTCTATTTAATATTGGATAAATCGATTTTGATAAGCATAATTTTTTAATGAATAAATCAGTTGTAGCGAATATATTTTTGTTGCATACATAACTTTTTATAAGCATTTTTGTTTAATAAATCAGTTATAGTGATTATTTGTTCTTTAATAGAATAATTAGAGTAAATATATTGTTCTTGAACACATCATTTGTAGCAAACAATTGTGTATATATATATATGTATATATATATATATATATATTTTTTTTTTAATAAATCACTTGTAATGAGTATATATTTTGTTGGGTAAATCCGTTTTGTTAAGCATGTTCTTTATTGAATAATTCACTTCTGAAAGTGTTATCACTGCTATCCTGTTGCATTTTTACAGTTTTACCATAGTTAACGTCATGTATTTTACTCACAACCATGTTGCCTTGTAAATGGTTTGGTTATCTCATTAGAAAAACGCAGTTACAACAGCTACCAACACAGGTGCTGCGTATGCAAAGACCTGATCTGAAAGCAAGAGGATGACCTAGGAGAGTACATATTGATGACATTAAAGACCTTCTACATCGAGACGGAATGACAGTAGCCATTGCTACCCATCAGGCAGTGGATTGCAAACTGATTCTCCCCATGTCACTTAACGGTAAAAGTCAGATTTATGATGATGATAATGATGATTAGTATCGTTTGCTTTATTCTGCAGATCTACATCACCACACCAAGACTGCCATTCTTCTCTCTGTTTACCTTTCTGTTGACCATCTCACATTTGGGCAAGCTCGTGTACGTCAGGTCGATTGGTGAGTTTCCTTTTTTGTGTGTTTGTTGTTGTTGTTGTTGTATAGAGTATAGAGCGAGTGGAAGACTTTGGAAAATATGGAGTGATGGTATTAAGAACCCCTTACAGAAATGAACATCAGTCTTAATAGTGCTCTTGACAGAGCTCATCGACGAATGTTACATCTCCCCCTGACACTTGGATAAGGTACAAAGTGGAAGAGAAGAAGAAGAAAGAAGAAGAAGTTGTTGTTGGTACAATTTAGTTAGATGAGCCCAAACAAGGGAAATCGTGGAAACCTAAGTCCAGTCCACTATTCTAGGGGTGTTTTGATGGGACTTTGTTCTGAGTTCACACAAAATGCGGAAAGGTGTTCTTGTGCACTGGGTGGAAAATCTGGAAAGAAGTTAAATTTCTTCACAAACTGCAGCTGCGCCAATGTTGTACGTGGAATTTGTTACTGGTGGGTTTAGGCAAGAAAGGATGACATATGAGAGGAGGAAGGGTACGACACGTGTGTACAACCAGTGTGTGTGTGTGTGTGTGTGTGTGTGTGTGTGTGTGCTAGTTACTGGAACAGTCAGCATCACCTCTGCACCTCTAGGCATCTGCTACGGAAAATGTAGCAAGCATTCTATGGGTAAATGCTCTAATTTGCATTCTTCAGTACTATCTCAGTAGTTTTTTCTTCATCTTCTGCGTTCATTCGAAGATGTAATTGCGTTGTGTCTGTTTACAGCATGGCTGCGATATTTGCACCTTTCGGCCAACACATCTGATTTCTGTGGGCATTTGTTGACCGGGTTAGCCTTCCCGGTTCATCTCAGTAGTTGAATCACTAATACTTTTTTTCATCAGTGAGAGATAATGTCTTAATGTGGCAAAAACACTGATTAACATCAAATTCTGTGCTGTCTGTACATCTTACTCTTGGACATTTAAACTTTGTCCTGAAATTTAACATGCTCAAGACCAGGTGTGCAGTACTTCAAAATTGTCTATGTTTTGTTCCTTAGAGAATCACTCTGTTGGTCTTAGAGTGACGAGAGGTTTTGGCAGATGCTTGAGGCTCAGAGGAAAGGCAAGACGAACGTTTAATCAGAATGCTACTGGCACAATAAGTATCGGAACTCTTCGCTGGCTGCTGAAGATGGGGACGGAGCGCTTATGAGAATGCCCCGAGTGCTGTGATGTCAGTTCTTGTATCAAATCAAATCAAATCAAATCAAATCAATTTGTTGGTCTTATAGAATTAAACCTCCCAAAAAAGTTTTGGGACAAGTTTTTATTGGTAGGCCAACTTTAACTGCTGACTTCAGTTCTTCACCGATTGCTTTGAAATTATGACGCAATGTTGAATTAGAATATGCACATGTTTTTATGAAAGAGTGTGGCACAAAGCGCGAACAACATAGTTCTAGTAACAATCTCATCGTCATCTTGGTTTTGTTTTCTGACGATCCAATTTCTTTTTCATTGCTGCGTTCTGAACTTTGACTGTTCACCTCAAAAATATGCATAAAGCTGTATGATATAATAAATTATTTCGAAGAGTTGTTGAAAGACTGTTTGGGACTGTAAAGATGTGGGAATAAATACAAGTTGGAATTAATAGTTATGGGAATAGAAAGAAAGATGTTGAGAGACTGTATGGGAATGAACAGATATGGGAATGAAAGATTACTGATTAGTGGGGACTATCGTCACAGCATTCCGGACAGATCCATAGGTTCTCAGATCTTTTCCTCCACAGCTCTACAAGCGGAAAAACCACTAATGACGCCCATTCTGTGGTGATTAATCAGGCGAACTTTGCCTTTGGTGCTGCAGGCTGCACTCTCATATCCGCCACCCTTCACATGATCTTCTTTGCGATGTGCATGTCACTGGACATCAATGACATTACTACTGCCCAAGTTGGGGAAGTCACAGTAACTGCCTTGCCCACAAGATTCATCTGCTCATAGTAGCAGCAGTGTTTGTAGTAACAGAAGAGTAGTAGTTGTTGTTGTGATTGGCTGGGTGGTTACAATGTTGGGCTGTCATGCGGGAGGCCCGGGTTGGACTCCCAGTAAGGTGATGGGAGTTTTTCTGTCAGGGGCACTATTAAACACCCTAACCTGAACAGTCCGTGGCGACAGCACAAGCCATGCGGCTTCTCTGGCTCAAGACCCTCCCTATCTACAATGATCTAGACAGGTGGTAAAACAGGCAGTAGCAACAGTTTTTTTTAGTTATTGTGGTGCTGGTGATGGTGGTAGTAGTAGTAGAACTGGTAATCAATGGGTGATGTGGTAAATATTAGATTGGCCGCATTTACTTCTATTTACAATTCCTGCTACCAGTTCTAGTCTGGGTGAACACTGATGCCAAGATCATTTAAAAAAATGTGTGATGAATTAAAAACCCGTCAGATGGATAAAGGAGTAGTCGGTGGATTGGGTGGGGGGTAATGACAGAAACTGTTAACTGAAAGAGCTTAAAACATGATTTTACAGTTTTCATTTTTTAAAATCATTTATATTTTAATAACGCTACCTCAGCTATTCTAGATTTTTTGGGGCGAATTCATTTTTTTCTATTTTTTAGACGTACAGTAGTTAAACAACCACTAATATAAGAACATAATTATATGTTGCATGTTCTAGAGTCGGTAAATCAGACTATCTGTGCAGACAGTGACTGTGAAATTTACCATATTAGACACGTGCGTTTTCTTTTTTCTTTCTTTTCTAGTTAGCCAACTGGGCCGCATCAACGCGTGGATGAGTACAGCTAGTTAAAGTATAATTGTCTTGTTTTTTCAGACTCTAACCATATGACCTCTGTCACTGAGGCTTATGGAAAAATTTGACATCAGCTTTACTGTTAAAACTTTTAAGTCAGCAGGCGAGCCTCTAGCTGCTGTGCCACTAGCTTCCCATTAAAGTATAATTGTCTTATCTTTTAGACTCTAACCCCGTGACCTTTATCACTGTGGCTTATTGGAAAAAATGTAACATCAACTTTGCTGTTGAAACATTTGGGTCAGAAGACAAGCCTCTAGCTGCTGTGCTTCTGTAGCTCCCATTTAAGTATAATTACCTTGTTTTTCAGACTCTGACACTGTGACCTCTATCAGTGAGGCTTATGGGAATATTTGACATCAACTTGGCTTTTAAAACCTTAGGGTCAGGAAGCAAGCTTCTAGCTGCCATGCTACTGTAGCTCCCGTTAAAGTATAAATATCTTATTTTTCAGACTCCTTGACCTGTAAGAAACCCACTGAGCCGCTAGATGCACCTCCGTTTGTTGTTGGCATCTACACACTGCTGAAGCAATCTCACACAGACAACACAAACCTGTTTCTGGCATTTCTTGGGCAGTATGTGCGCTCAATGGTTGAGGCTATGAACAGGTAAATTTTTCAATCCTCTCCTTAAATCAAAACAGTAAAACCCTGTATGGGTTCCGAGGCCCTATTATAGGGAAAACAAGAACAGACCCACTGCCTACCCAAAAGCATGTCATAAGAGTCGACTTAATGGGAGCTTCCTTCGAAGGTGGAATGCATCTGCCTGAGAGGCAAGGAGCCAGCAGTCTGCATACAATGAGTCAGATCTGTAAAACGGATGCACACGCAACACTCAAGTTCTGGAACAGGACTGCAGTCCAGAAGTGGACGAACAACCAGAATTTGCCACCGTAGTTTACAGCTGGTGAACACGAAGAAGAAAGAAGAAGAAAACAGTAAAAACTGGTAAAGATCATTATAAAGAAAGCCAAAGAAAATAGAAAATTTCCTGTGTGGGTTCTGGGGACCCCATTGTCGGAGAAAGAGAACACACCCACTGCTCCCTGACAAGCATGTCATGAGAGTCGACTAATTAGAGATGTGTCCTTCAAAGTTAGAGTGCATCTGCCTGAGAGACAAGAAACAGTTGTCTACATACAAGTAAGCCTGATCTGTAAAATGGACATGCATGAAAACTCAGTGTCATTGCAGGAAACCCCGTAACCTTGTGGCAAGGATAACATGGCTCCAAGTCGACCAATCAGAAGTGAGCTAGGCTGAAGGTTGACCAATCAGAAGTGAGCTAGTGTGTAACACTGTGTAAATGGGGAGACTGATGTTTGTTTAACCTTTCATTGTATGGATTCTCTGTGTGTTCTATAGCACTGCCCATTTAACCCCAGAGAGCCTTCGCCATGTCTAATTTATCATAAAGTAGCTCACTGCTAGAGGAGCGGCAGCAGCTAATCTATCAGCTTGCTCATTGCCTCACACACCTGGACAAAAAAATTTCTGGAACAAGAAGTGTTTAACAGCCAGAACTTTCTGCCTTTGTTTACAACTGGTGAATACGGAGAAATAGTGAAGGAGAAATAAAAACCTTACAAGTGTGATAGACATTACAACTATTACATAACTATGCCACTGGGTTTTAACCTTTCAGTATTATTGTTAAAGATGTCATGAGTTATAGGTACATGACATCATGGTGCAGATGAACAAATTGACATTATAATGATAGTTTTAAAAATGGCCTCCCCACTTTTGACATGCACAAAAGAGGAGCAGTGTGATGAGGAGGGATGATGCCCTTCTTTGCTCACTCTCTTTATTCCTGGCGCGTGGTAGTGAGCCCAGGTTCATCTGCAGCAACAATTCTTGATAGGAAACCATCACTTTCTGTTTCAAAGCACTGGATTCCTTCTTGACAACCATCATTGGGTCATCCTTTCACTCCTGGAGTATGCTGCTGTAGCAATCACCTTATAGACACTTATTGGTACGGTAGCACATTGTGGATGATTTGGTGTTCTGAACTTTGACTGAAGATGTGCGGCAGTCTCATTCACAGTCAGTCAGCAGTCTTTGTGTACGAGGCATTCAGCGGCTGCAGTCGACTCTGGGATCATTACTCAGGGTGCCAAACCCAAATGTGAACAGTCTGTAACAAAAGTCCTGATGTTTTGGAACTTCCTACTCCACTCAAACTCTTGCTGGACTGACAGGCATGCATTGCCACAGTGGACCTTCATTTGCCAATGGATTTTTATAGGTTTCATCCCTTCACTGGTCAAGAATCAGATAATCAGAACATTGTTCCTCTTTGGTACATGTCAAGAGTTGGAGTGGGCCATCTTTAAACTGTCATTATGATGTCACCATTTTCATTTTCACTGTGATATCACCTGCTTACCATTCTTGACATCCTTAACAACAGTACTGGACGGTTACTAGACAATGGCATGGTTATTGTAATTTGTGCAACACTTTTAAGGTTTTCATTTGAAGCCTGGTTGTATCATTTGAAATGCCACCTGCAGCCAGCATATCTTGGTCTTAATCTCTCTTGCACGTCTTCCATCAGATCTTATAACTGTCCACAAATATTTGAACTTATTGACCTGCTTAAGCTATTTGTTTTCTTTTGTAATATCACATTTTGGTGTTTATTTCTTCTTTGTTATAATCATTACATGATAGGGCAGACGTGGTTAGTGCCTTGTGGGAGAGCGTGTACAGTTCGGAGGAGCAGATGGATCACCACAGTCTGGTGAGACTGATGCAGCGGGGAGTGACGAGAGCTTCTGGCAGATGCTTGAGGCTCAGAGGAAAGGCAAGACGGACGTTTAATCGGAATGCTGCTGGCACCATTAGTATCGGAACTCTCCGCTGGCTGCTGAAGATGGGGACGGAGCGCTTATGGCAATGCCCCGAGTGCTGTGATGTCGGTTCTTGAATCAAGTCAATCAATCATTCAAAATCATGTTATAATCATTGTTTCTGTCTTTTAAAAAAAAATGCTTTTGGTTACTACAGTATAACTCAACAAGCATGTCGTAGGAGTTGACTAATTGGGGGCTTCCTTCAAAGAGTCTGCCCAAGCGGCAAGGAACAACTAACTGCTCACAAATAAGCAAGTAACATGGATGTACACACAAACTCATGCCCTGGCACAAAGCCAAAGTCCAAATGGTTGAACAACCAGGACTTTCTGCCAGAGCTTACAGCTGTGAACACAGAAGAAAAAATAAGACATAGACAGTCAGTGTTGTTTGGACTTTTTATGAGAAGGAAAGGACTCGAGAACTTGGTTTTGGCAAGATTTTCATAGAATGTCAAGCTCTTTTTTCCAGTTCACCAATCTTATTAATTTTCATGCTCTTGTTACATCCCCAGCACGAAGGAGCCAACTATGTCTCAGGATGTTTTGAATGTGCTGGTGTTTCTTGAAGACTTCATTTTCTACAGTGGACTTTCACGCAAGGTCAGTGTGATAATGCTGGCTCTCTTGTAATGATTCTTGTTCGCTTGTTAGCAGATACAACTTTCTTCGGTGCAAAACGGCGCTCAGGTTCCGATGTAAATTCTGTCAGGTTATTCCTTCTGATTCTTCTACTCTATTCAATCACCGTTTATTTCATTACAACCATCACTGTTAACTTCCACAACAACGTGACACTAAATGCTCACACAACTTTGAATACACTTACATTTAAACTACATCGACTACATCACAAACGTCTTCTTCAAACTCTGGTATGCAACTGACCAAGGGCCAAACTCTGGTCTTTCCTGGTTCATCTCTCCAGCCCCAAGCATTTCGTGGCATCGTCTCTTGCACGGGTTTTCTGCCCAGCTTGCTCTGACCGTTGACCACCACCAAGGGCAGGGTCGTCACATTAAGTAAACATTTTTCTCTTCAGTTGTCATGTTGGCAGGAGTTGGTAACAGTGTTTTTTGCACAACTTCTGGAGCTGTCTATTTATTACCATTTGCAACTTTGGCATCATTTCAGTGTCATCGTATTGAAAAAAAAAGTTTTCATTATTTGAAGCCCCACCCTGGCTTTTGCCGGGGGCCCTGAATATAGCAGGGCCATTAATATGTCTTAACAGCTGCAAGGGGTTTCTGGGACCTCTCCACGGGTGATCCTCATCCGCATGGTGGCACTTTGTGTCACCGGGTGTTTATTGCTTGTGTGATGTCATGGTGGGGTTCAACAAGAGAGAGAGAGACTAGTAACTTTCCCTGTGTGGTTTTGAGGGATTGGGGGGGGTTTGAGGGGGGGGGGGGGGGGGTTTGGACACGCTGCTTCCTAACAGGAGTGCCATAACTAATTAGGAGTCTCCTGAAATCAGATGTGTTAGACCAAAAGGTGCAGATATCATAGCCTAGCTGTAAACCACAGCATAGCATGCTAACTGCCCTTTTAAGAGTAAATGCAGTAATAATAAGAAGAATCGCTTTAAGCAGTTTTAAATTCTGATTATCATCACATCGTCATCTTTCACACTTTTTTTGAAGCGGGGAACCATAGCTTTGGACACATTCAACACCATAATGGTTTGTTGGGAACGGTAATGGAGGATGTCATTCCTGGAAGAAGAGGCAGGGATCTACCAGCTTTGTGGTGAACATAGAATATTACAGCAAATCTTGGGCATGAGAAGCTCACCAGGTTGGAAAGCTGTCAGGGAAATTAGTGACTTTTCCAGACTGTTGTGATGAGAGTGACATTTTAGCTTGTTATGTTAAACTTAGCCAGTGTTAATACACTTTACTTTTTTCTGTACATAAAGTTTTATTTTAAAGTGCCTAGCACTTCAGTTTGGCCAAATTATCTATTATCTGGTATTTCTTTTTCCTGAAGAAAAAGGTGTCGGTACTCACACAACAGAATGTCTTATAAAAGGTGTCGGTACCCACCACAAAGTTTATAGCTGGAAAAAAATATATGCCTTAAAAAAAAGTGTGCTGGTACTGTCTATGGGTGCATATCTTCAGAAAAAAGCACTGTCTATTATTTAGTGGGGGGGGGGGGGGGGAGAGACAAAGTAAAGGACCTGTTTATGGCGGTTGGGTATTGGGCATATGCTGCTAGAGCCCATTTTCATAGATGACTCTGCACTTGAAGCATGATGTGGCCAACGTTACACCAGCTACATTCACTTCCAATGGCATTTCCTGATGCCCATTTTAAGCTGGTTTACCCGGGAGCTCAGGTGGTTTATTACCAACTCTACTTTAATGCATATTGAAGCGGAAGACCTTTAGGATGGCAGAGAAAAATGTCTAGCCACTGCGCTGCTTCGGCTCCTGTATCAAGTATTAGCTTCTGATTTATGGTGTTGGCTTTTTCTAGTTGATTTTTACAGTTATCAACATTTCTTCTTCTTCTTCTTCTTATTCTCCTGTGTTCTTTTACAGACATTGTGCCTATTCACAGCACGACTATGATATTTGTGCCTTTTGGCCAATACATCTAGCTTCTTTAGGTATTTGTTTCCCAAGTCAGCCTTCCCAGTATTAATATTTGATCTAACCACAAAACATTTATAACATAATGTAAGCCTTTTTTGGGTGCACTTTTGAATCGTGAACATTCTGCTAACTTATTACCATTTGTCTGAATTTTTCAGCTGGTGGAGTCCTTTGTTCCAGACTACATATTTGATGAATTTCGAGGCCAGTTTGCTCAAGGCTAACAGTCGCTGATGTCTGCAAGGTCGCTGCCATCTTGAAATTGTTCAACTTCAAGCATTTAATTTATTTACATCATGCTGATGCCTTCAACAATGGCAGTCAGCCAAACCTTCTTTAGAACGTTCAAAATGTGTTTTTTTTTTCTTCTCTCTGTTTGCCTTTAAAAGGGCAGTTGGAACAGTGTGTTGTGGTTTAACCTGTAATATCTGCTCCTTTCTGCTCAACATACCCAGTTTCATCCAATCTCTATTTAGTCCTCTTTACAACATGTTTATAAAGATATAAATAGGTCTATCCCCCCACCCTTTTAAAATGAGGTCCCAAAATCAAATAAGAGGAACATTGAAGACCTAATTTAAATTTTTTTTTTTTTTTTTTAATTATTTCTCAAATGTAAATTTTTTTTTGGGGTTAAACATTCGCTTAATCCCAGGCATTCATTCCTTAACATACTTTCTATCAAACCATTTATTACTTCTCTCCCCTCCCCCCCACCCCAAATAAAATGCTTCACCTAAAAGAGATTAAACAGTTAACCGAGCTGAGTCATCATCATTCATTATGTGTCACATAAGGCTCGAAATGCAGTCCTCTATTCCATTCAGGCCTGGCAGTCCTTTTGATAAAAGGATTGAATTCAGTTTAGCATGATTGGCCTCTCTCGTAAATTTTCACCTTGGCTTTCTTTTGGACATCCTAACTCTCTTAATTCATTTGTTTCGCATTTAGATATCTGTTCAACAAGTCACTGCATGCTTCCCTTCATGATGTGCCTAAGATATTGTCATGTCTTTTTTCTTATAACTTGATACAAGCCGTTGTACAGGCATTTCTCTTATTTTCCTAATCTTTCTTGAACCACATTGAATCTTCTTCTTCTTATGTTTCAATGGCTGTAAATTCTGGTATTAAGTTCTGGTTATTTGAACGCTGCTGGACTTTCCTGTTCTAGAGTTTGAGTTTTTACGTGCACATCCATTTTACAGACTGTATGCAGACTGTAGGTTCTTTGTCTCTCAGGCAGACGCACTCTGACTTTAAAGGAAACACCCTTGTTTAGTCGTCTCCAACAACATGCATGCTAGAGAAGCAGTGAGTGTATTCATTTTTCCCCTAAAGTGAGGCCCTGGAACGCACACAGGGAAACCACATTGAATAGAATGAGCTAATGCAACAATTAGATGAGTCACACAGAGATAAGAGAGCTGTATCACTGTGAGAAGAAGCTGAATAAACTCGTAGTGAGTTGCTTGGTACTGAATAAGTTAAGTTGAAAATTTGTTGTTTTCTTCTTCTTTCTTTTTCTTCTTCTTTTCTTTGCCTGAAATAAGTTGTCTGTATCAGCAATTTTTGTCTCTTGTATACATTTCACTATTGGTTTTTTAGTTCATTCAGCGGCCCTCTGAGTTTATTTCTCACTGATTGTTCTCTATGACCACAAGTTTTGCCTTAATGTGTTATATTGGATGCAGGCTTGAGTATGTGTGTTTTGCTGATTTAGACATATTTGCATGGTGTGTGTGTGTGTGTGCTCGCAGTATCTAGAATGTTGTGGTTGGCTTGCTGGCTGGTTGCCTCTGACTTCAGCACCTTTTTTCCTAGGGTAGACTGTGATCATCAGAAGGAGACAGTCATCATTTTTCGGCCATGTTATGAGAAGAGGGAAAATAGAACTATGTTGTGACCACTGGAAAGATCTGTGGAAGGAGGGATAGAGGAAGACAACGAGAGAAGATGCTTGACAGTCTTGTTGCATGGCATGGAGGTGTGTCGGCACACGAACTGATACATGCTGCAGGAGATCGCGGATTATGGAGAGGCATGATCGCCCACGCCAGTCGGCAAGGCACCTGATGATGACGATGAGACTGTGATCATACTCGAGGGTTCAGTCAGTCTGGTTTTACAGTGCCAGATACCTGCTGTCGGTCCTCCTGTCAGTTTAATGGGTTCTGCCACAACAAGGACAGGAGTTGGACTTTTACTGTCAGAGGTGATGGAAGCACATGCTTTATGGGTATTTGTGAAGACCTGAGAGCTCTTCTTCAACCCTATCCCCCAACTATGACAACAGTTTGGAACTTGTTTTCTTCTGAGGCCACTCTGCCATGCTTCCCTCTCCCTCTGTTTGAAGATCTGGAAATGTGTGAAGATAGTTGCATATCCTTTTAGAGGACGTTGCAAACCAACCCCAGCATTTTTGGAAAATTTGTTTGTGGTTTCTATTAGCCCACAGTTGGAATTGAATAGGGTATATTAGAATTACAAACCATGTTTGCAACCCCAAGTCACAAATGCTGACAATATATGACTAGCATATTACTACCACCAGATTTTCATAACTTTTCTTATATTTTGTTGCCTATATACATTTTATTTCTAGTTCATGCATAAAGGAGTTTATAATATTAATGTCTTAATGTATTGTTTCTATTAACAAGCTGGTTTTCTTTATAATTGATGTGTTATTATAATTATGAATTTGTTTAGTTTTTGTTAACAAATGTTTTTAATTTTCATTGCTGTTATTTAAATCTTAACTTGTTTCTATTAACAAGCTATTAAAAAGTTGATTAGTCATATTTTACCATGTAATTTTATGTATCCTTTTCTAACATTTGTCACCAAAAAAATGCATAGGCTCACAACTGTCTCTTGCCAGGTCCTTTGTAGAACTGATTATAGCTGGTGGGTTTTTACAGCCATTTTTGTTTAAACCGGTGAAAGAAGGGAGGGATGTCTCTTTAGTGAAGTGGTCAATTCATTTACTTCATGCTCTGAAGGTTGGGTTCATTTCACAGACGGGTCGTTCAGTTCATGGCTGCAAGTATCACTGAGATCCTTGGGGATTGTCACTGAAGCTATGGAGTTCATGCTTTATGTGACGTTCTCAGCAGACGGCTAGCCATTCTGCAGAGAGAAATCAAGCCATGTGGGATAACCTGAGGCAGTGAAGAGGATCCTTTCAGCTTTAATTAAGCTGTAACTTTGAATTAACTTTAACTTTTGTTTCTTTCTTAGCGTTTACCGGCTGTGAACTCCGGTGTAGTTTTCTCATTGTCTGTCTTACTTCTAGACTTTCTTTCTGTTTCTTCCTTAGCGTTTACCGGCTGTGAACATCAGTGGAGTTTTCTCATTGTCTGTCTTACTTCTAAACTTTCCTTCTGTTTCTTTCTTAGCGTTTACCGGCTGTGAACATCAGTGGAGTTTTCTCATTGTCTGTCTACTTCTGGACTTTCCTTCTGTTTCGTCCTTAGCGTTTACCAGCTGTAAACTCCAGTGTAGTTTTCTCATTGTCTGTCTACTTCTAGACTTTCCTTCTGTTTCTTTCTTAGCTTTTACCGGCTATGAACTCTGGTGGAGTTTTCTCATTGTCTGTCTTACTTCTAGACTTTCCTTCTGTTTCTTTCTTAGCGTTTACCGGCTATGAACTCCGGTGGAGTTTTCTCATTGTCTGTCTTACTTCTAGACTTTCCTTCTGTTTCTTTCTTAGCGTTTACCAGCTATGAACTCTGGTGGAGTTTTCTCATTGTCTGTCTTACTTCTAGACTTTCCTTCTGTTTCTTTCTTAGCGTTTACCAGCTATGAACTCCAGTGGAGTTTTCTCATTGTCTGTCTTACTTCTAGACTTTCCTTCTGTTTCTTTATTAGTGTTTACCGGCTGTAAACTCCAGTGGAGTTTTCTCATTGTCTGTCTTACTTCTAGACTTTCCTTCTGTTTCTTCCTTAGTGTTTACCGGCTGTGAACTCCAGTGGAGTTTTCTCATTGTCTGTCTTACTTCTAGACTTTCCTTCTGTTTCTTTCTTAGTGTTTACCGGCTGTGAACTCCAGTGGAGTTTTCTCATTGTCTGTCTTACTTCTAGACTTTCCTTCTGTTTCTTCCTTAGTGTTTACCGGCTGTGAACTCCAGTGAAGTTTTCTCATTGTCTACCCCTAACCCTACCCCTAACCCTAACCCTACCCCTAACTCTAATCCAACAACCGCATGATGAAGACTACACAACCATTCACAATGCCTCACGCTACCGTACGCAACCCTGCACGCAACCATATGATGATGCCACGATGCCTCACGCAACCGTACGCAGCCCTACACGCAACCGCAGGATGATAGGTAGTGTCGTTTGTTTTGTTTGTTTTCCGATCACCCTGTGCGGCCCTCTGACCCGTCCAAGGCTTTTTATTCTTCGTCCGGATTTGCCAGTAGAGCCGAATATTTAGTGTTAACTATGTCCCCTAAACTGTTTGATTACTTCACTGATGCCTATTTGAAGTTGAACGTTTTATTTATGTCTCAATAGACTTAATTCTCTAGCATGTTGTTCTTTAAAGTCATTTTCAAAGTCTTTTGGTCACAGTTATTTTGTAGAATATGATTCACATCCATTCTTTTTCTTATGATTTGCAATAATATTTTGGCATATGATTCAGACGAATTTTAAAATATTTTGGTCCTGTCATTTTCGCAACAGTTACTGATAAAATCAGCCCGTCTAGACTTCAGGTTGATATCTGTTGGTGGTTCCATTATAACGGTTCTATATGGTTGAATGGGATTTCCGGTATTTGTATGTGTAGGATTCTCATCCTTGAGGTATTATTCTTACAGACCACAGCTCTGGAGGGGACAAATTACTGACAACTGTTTAGATGTTATCCTTTATATGCAAAGAAGAAAGATGTGATGTATTTAGGCCACTTGCTTGCATAGCTTATGTTGTGTTGAGATGAATGATTCCAGTATATTGAGTGCTGTGATAAGTGTGTGAATTAAATGTGTTATTCTAGAAGGATGTACTCATAACAAAGTTATTACTATTTTTTTTTTTTAGCCTACTGTATTAACAGAGATAACTGATTGCACAGTGTTATTGCCTGGAATATTTTACTGTATCTTCATCAATACAGTCAGAATGAACTAGATAAACCAAGTTCTTAATGCATTTAAGTGTCCTAGGTTGCCGAAATTTGCTGTCGGTGTCTGTGGCTTATGAGTTTCGA